CCTTCTGCAGAACATAATGATGAGTGCTCCAATTTTCAACGGTTTATATATTTGTTTCCAGTTCTTTTATGTGTGTATGTCTTCTACGCCCGATGATTATGATTCGTTGATCCCTTTTTTCCTTTCAAGAGGAAGAGCATATATGCAACAAAAAGGACCAACAAAAATGATATAATCAAACACGATTGGCGATTCTCATGATGATGAGATTTGTGCTCTTTATGAACGAGCTTTCTCTTGGTACTTTTTTCTCCCTTGAATCTCTCATTTTTATAGCTGATGTTGTGTTATATCATGTTGCACGGTCAATCACAAATCGTGTTTGGTTTCTAAAATTAGAATGAATCCAGGTTTGTGTTGCCTAGGGACTGTAACTTGTGATTACCTTTCATATTCATTTAAAAGTTTAATTTTTTATTTGTTATATTGGTATTGTTTTCAGGTATGGTTGGTATTTTAATTTGATTTTGGATACTCATAGGATAATTGTCAGTTCCAACCAGTACATGGATACTCATCTAAAATCAATTAGGTGATTTTCCCCATGTATTCGTTCCTACCCATTCACGATTCTGATTTTATAATTTTCCATTTTATAGGTTCCATTTGTTGCTATAGGTGTTTCCTACGAACTGAAGTATAGAGAAAAAAGTATATGTTCATGAATTTGAGATGCACGAGGGTGTTTGGTTTAGCCAATGCCCATGGATTTCGTAACCAAAGGTAGTATTCTGATTACTACCTTTGCTGCTTCTCTGTTTGTTGTCGCTTCAAACCTCCACTTATCATCTTACATATCATGGCAGGTTCTACGACATAGGAATTGTGTATCTTCATTTTACCAGTTTTTCCTTTAGATAGATGTGCTTCAGTAAGATGTTTTGTGTTCTGCACTTTTATTCAGAATTTTGTAGTAGGGTAGAATCAAGCGAAGACAAATACTTGCAGTAGGATTTATATAGAATAAAAAATACATGTATTGCACTTGAGATCTTAATTAATACAGTTGGGTCATATATTTAATCCGTTTGTTTTATCTTCTTCGACACTGTACTTTTTAAGCTGTGATGTAAAACTTGCATGAAATTGACTTGCAATGAATGTCTAGATTTAGCAAGTGGCAATCTATTAACTTTGTACTCTTGGATGTGCCCTTTTGAATTTGTTAGTGTCCGGGACCTACTTTTTCATATGACGATATAATCAGATAGCAAACTTTTCAATTCCTTACTTTGTTGTGGTCATGCTTTGATCCTTGATTGACCCAGGCTCATGAAAATCATCCTAAATCATATTAGCTATCTTGATGATATCGGATTGCTGCTGCATCTATTGTTTTTTAAAGTAAAGATTGGATTTTGCCTATATATGTTAAACTATAATCTATAGATGTTATTATGGGAGGGAGATGATGTTTCTCTGTATATGACCAATTATCTGACCAATTTGGCTGCAGAAAAATTGCTTGAAGCAATAAGACAGGAAGATTGGTTACTCATATAGACAAAGAACATAAAAAGAGTAATTGCATACCGAGTGAAAGGGATTTGGATATCTCTGCACAAAGAAAAGTCGGTATCACTTATTGGTTATTCATTTGATATTAAGTTCACTGTTTTTTTTTGTAGTTAGAATCTTATCAGCATCGAATAGTTAATTCTTAGATATTTTGTTTTTATGGTAGTGTGCTCTAATCCATTCCATTAGGCTGAGACTGTTTTGATTCGAGTTGACCTGAAGGAATCAGTAGCGAGCTTCCAATTGGGGTTAATGATTTTGAGATACTGAGCATTATTGATTGAGTCAATGTTCATAGATGCCTTAACCTAAGGTTTTTGTGTGATTCTAGCCTATGTTCTTTTCAGCTGCTTCTTCTTCTTTAAGTTCTTACACAACACATTTAGTATTTCTAAAATGTTGGTCCCAAAAAAGTTAAGAAAAAGAACACTGAAATGCTTGATAATTTGTCTTTGATGGTAGACTATAGTTTCCAAATCATCTTCTTCTATCAACTAATTGTATAATCCCACCTTTTGCCTCTATTGCAAGAATCAACAAGGGAAACCAGAGCTACAGTATTTCCATTACATCACCCTTTGAGGCTGGGTAAGTGTTTCAACTCCTGGATTGGGGTAATTAATTGGTTCAAGGTTGCTGCTGGTTGTTTATTTAGTTCGTTCTTAAATTCATTATCAAGTTCCTTTTGGGGGCATTCACTATCAAATTTCATTTAGCCTTTGAGTCAAATGATATTTAAACTCTTTTAACACAAAATTATGTTCTGGTATGTCTAAAGTTACATGTTGTTTGGAGTCAAAAATTCCTACAGATCTTTATTGTCATGGGTCTGAAGTTTTAGTATAGGTGTGGAAGTTGTAAGAACATAGATCTATGTTATGATGGTCCTCAAAGGGAGGGGAAGGAGTTGTTGCATCTGATGTCTAAAAAATAGTACAGCCATTGCTTTCGCTATCACTTTTTGTTTAAGGTTGAATACCATCAAATTGCGGACACTACGAAGTAAGTTTCATTTATCTACGGTAGACATCTAATATGTGGGTAGCGAATGTCTTCTGGGATTAAGAAATATGACCGTCATTTGTTGCTTCTTTAATCACGTAAGTTAAGGGGTTGCATCGAGGGGTTTATTAAGACGCATGCATAGTTTTGATAGCAAGTACTTATTGTGTGATATTATCTAAACGGAGTTCCCAATAAGTAAAGGGTGCTAAGGCTATAAATGTAGTGCATTAGCTAAAGTGCTCTTTGAATTGAATCATTATTTGAGAATTAAAAAGTACCCAAATAATGAAAATATGAAATCATCTAGATAATGACATAAATGAAGGGAAGGAAATAATAACTATAAAATGAACCAATTAGAGGATAATCGCTTTGCATATATGTATGTGTTAAAATATTTTGCAATTCGTCTTCGGTGGGTGGGGTTCTTGGTTAAGTTGTCGTTTTGAGATCATGAATTGTTGTGTGTGCTCTTGATTAGTTCCCTGTCATATTTTGCTAATGCATTCTTTGGTAACGCTGCTATATTTTTTAAAATTAGAAGCAAGAACAATTAGTGAAAGTTTAAACATTCCTAATGCTAGCATATACTAATTACTTCAAGCCCCCTTTCTTTTCTTCATGTAGTTGTTGTTGATGGTGAAAGCCGTTGTTTTAGTAGATGACTCGGGCTAGGATTTCATTACAAGATGGATGGGGACAAGACAATTTCTTTTCAATGCAACATCAGATAATAGTACGAAAATAGCTTACCATGCATCCTCATTCTCACACGACATTGTTTATGTTGGTGATAACATATTCTTAAAACAACAGCTACTTCGATGACTATGTTCTGTGCTAATATGGATGATTGCTAAGTGGGTTATTAATGTTTACTTCCTGATCCGTTGGACATTTAATAACTCACGTTTGTGCATATACCTTATAACTATGCCACATGCTAGCTCATTTTGTTATGGGTTGTTAATTGCAAGGACCAACATAGGCGAAAAGATAATTGTGACCAGATCACATACGGATTTCTCATATTGGGAATCGCGATTTAATCAATAAACCATGAGATTGCCAGAGAATCTTGAAGATGGCATGTTTTTAATCAACTACTAATAATGTATTATATGTTGGCTAATATGGCACCATGATAATTCTTCCCAGGTTTGTTGTTTGGATGGTTTTACTGTTTTCTTTACTTTGATGTCTTTCCCATCGGTCTCTTTGAATGCTCGATTTATAAATCTAATTTATGGATGTCACTTATTCCAAATTAATGGGGACCAACAAATTTCAAATTCGATAGCAAAACTTTTCATCCTTGACCTTTGATTTGATTAGAGTTTTAGCACCTACTTCCAAATTTAGGAGTTAGACAAATCTCGCATGTGTTGAATTTAGATACCAAATACATAACTGAAATATATGATCCAAACGATGTTCACATTTGTTATTGAATATCAAATTGGTTTTCTTTCTTTATGAAGTCATGAATCTTTTTTCATAAAATCCCATTTTCACGACAAGCGATTGTATATTTGAATCAACAAGTGTTTTATTTAATAAAATTTCAAATAAATACTTCAAATATTTGAGATTTTGGTCAATATAATAGCTTGGACAATCCTTTTATGTCATTGTCAACTCTTAAAACCACAAATATTTTTCGTGAATCATATAAAATTAAAGATCCCAAATCAAGTAAATTATAAATATTGATAAAATAAATTATACGAAATAGAATGAAATTGATCCGACCAACGGATCGGGTAAAAGCTAGTTATTTATTATTGTGTACATTGATATAATGTAAAAATAAAAAAAATGGATAAAAGAAAATGAAATATTAAATGAATAGAGAGATAGTTTCATAAATATATCTGTAACTTTTTTTTTTTGTAAAAATATTGTCCACCTTGGCAATTTGTGAACTCTCTAAGTGCTTAGGTGGCAAACAATTACTTTTGAATTGTCATAATATTATATATAGATATAAATAGATATAGATAGATAGATATATAGATAGATAGATTATAGTCTTCCCACTTCTCATCGATATTCTGTATAGAAGTCCATGTATATGTGATTATCGATATTCTTCATTTGCATTTTGTGACAAAGAAATCTCTCAGAATATCTTTTCTTTGAAGGAAGATACGATAACAATCTCCTCTAATAGTAAGCCTACCAGGTATCACAAACAAGAGATACGCCAATGCCATAAATCGACTAAACCATTCATGATCGATTAACAGGCCAAAGTGATAACACCTCCCAATACAAATTGATTAATAACAAATGTTTTGGAGCCATCTATTCCTCTTTTTAAAAAGAAAAACAGTCATTAACCCTTTCCCCTAAACCCATTGTCTCTCTTCTTCTGCTAACTGTTAAAACATCGTTGTCTGGAAAAGCAGCAGAGAGCTAATAACTTGCTATGAGAATTTATTATTTGCTTCGGAATCTCCCCTCTTCTTATCCCCTCACCGCCACCATAATAAGTCGTTTTCAAAAACACCCTCGCCCCACTCCCCACACTCCTCTCTGAACATGAATATGAATATACATACCCTACTCTGCCTTCTATATTCTCCTCCTTTCCCCTCTCTGCTTTCTTCTTCCTCTGCTTCCACAGTTCCACTGTTAGAGTATTTATTTACTCTTATCTATACTCTGCCTCTCTTTCTCTCTCTCTCTCTCTCTCTCTCTCTCTCGTAGCCTTTCTTCCCTTCTCTCGCTTTATCACCCACTCAATCATCCCTTTCTTCCTATATATACACACACATTCCACGTCTCTCTCGTCACGTCCACACGCCCTTCTTCCTTCCAAATCGTCCGATTTTGGTCAAGTTATCTAAGCGCTAGCTTAGCAACATGGAAGTAAGTCGACTCTCTGTTTCTGTCTCGCTTAATTTGATGCTCTGCTTCGTCAATTACTCTCTGTTTCTCACTCAAATTTGTGACTCTGTTTCGTTACTAGTGAATTAACATGTGGGTTTGGTGCAAAATTTGCAGGAGTATTACTATGGAGGTGGGCATGTGCCGCCGTTCGGGAGCTGGGACTGGAACAACGATCTCCCCTTCACTCAGTGCTTCGAGTCGGCCCGGCAGGCCGGCTTCCTTCGCTACAGCTACTCCGAGGATCGAGATCTGTACGTCGCCGGCGATCTGTACCAGAACGACGTCGTCACTCCTACCGTGATCGTCGTCCCTCGCCGCCCACGCGTAAGCCGGTCTTACCTTTTTCCCAATCGATTTCTTCATACCAGGAGTCAGTAAAGTATAGGAGAAAGCAGAGTAAAGAAAGATTCATGAAAAGAAGTTCATATCCACTTTGAGATACCAAAAAAAAAAAAAACAGTTTCAAAAAGAGGAAAGGAGAAAGGGGTTTTGTGATGATAATGTCACACTCTGCTTTTTTTTTTTTCTCCACCCTCCTTTTGACAGTGGGAATTCTCAAAATTTTCGTTGCCATGGCCCATAATTGTGAAATGGAGAATTGTTGTGCTACAGAGCAAGAGTCAAAAACCTTTGCTGTTATTACTGTTGGTGTGGTGTGGGTGTGAATTGGGGGAGCTAATTCATGATGTTTACTGCAGCAGCAGCAGCAGCAGCAAGGGAAAGTGCGTCAGTCCCGCACCAAACAAGGCAAAACAATGGAAAAGCAACAGCAGCAGCAGGCGGAAATTGGGTACAACTTGAAGGAATGCGAGAGCGTGGTTGTTAAAGAACCGCCGAGCCCACCTCCGAATTCCACCGCTACGACGCGCCGGAACCCGAAGCCGGTGGACGAAGATCTGTACAAGATCTCGCCGGAGCTTCTCTATGCATCATCCAAACCCAAAAAGGTGAATTAGTTTTTCCTTTTCTTTCCCCCCCTTTTCATTTCTGGCAAGGCAACCCCTTTCGCTTTTCATTTTATTTTCCTTTCTAATTTGTCGCCTGATCTTTAATTATCAGCAATGTCTCCTTCTTTGACCTTTTTGAGTACACTCCACTCCATTAAAAGAAAAAAGCAGAGCACTATTTGGTAATTGCAAAGGTGTGGTCGTTATCGATCGAAGTCGAGCTAATTGGGTTGGGGGGGAATGTTTGGTTTTTGACAGAAGAAGAGAGGGTTTGGGATTTTGTCGAGCTGCTTGCTGCCTACCTGCGTCGTTTGAATGATCTGATGGTGCATTGAGTGTCCAGCTATGAACTGGGCGGTGCTGCTGCAGTACATATTATTATAATTATAACGATGAAGGCAGAGGATATTAAATACTATTATTATATAATTGTTATACTATGGTTTGGATGATAGAGCGGACTTTTGCTTATTATTATTGTATTTAGTCAGCCGGTAGTGTAGCTAGTCATGTGAGAAAGGCAAGGGAAGGAGGAGGAGATGAAGAGAAATCTAGGGTTCGTTTGCTTGTTAGATTTGGAAAATGAGGGTTTTGGCCAACAAAAACCTTGGGATTTATGTTGGATTTATTGGATTATGGATTTGAAGAGTCTAATGTTTGCATGATAGATTTGATGAAGGATTTGTGATGAATTTGTTAAATAAATAACTAACCATCAAGGATTTGCAAATCCCAAATCAATATGTGGGATTTACAAATCCGTGGGGTCCACAGATTTGGTTCCAAAATAAAGATCAAATCCGTGGACCCCACGGATTTAGCACCCTTCAACAAACAATAGACTTATGTTAAATCCATCAAGCTTGGGATTTGCGTACCAAATCCATGACCCAAATCCAACAAGCAAACGACCCCCTAATTTTTTGGGTTGAACAAAAGCTCTTTTGCTATATGAACTCTCTCTCTCTCACTCTCACCTTTGTAAAGAGAGGGAGAGAGTTTAGAGATTGGATGTTTGTGTTTTTATTTTCAAGAGTGGGGGGTTTGTTTGTGCTTATGTTATGTCAAGCAAGAAAAAAAGGGACAACATTGCTTTTCTTTCTCTTTTCCCCCTTACTTTCCCTAGTAAAGATTAATGCTTTTAGCTAACTAAATCATCAATCAACGTGTATGTGTATGGTATGGCTTTTGCTTTCCATGGTTCATTTTATGGCTCAATTTGGATAATATAGTTTAACATCATGTTAACTATTCTAATTACATTTCATAATTTTTTGTTCTTTTTTCATAAAGAGGAATTTTTATTGCATTTTAACTAATTAATTACAAAAAGGGATAAAGAAACCAACATTCTGGTTCCAACAAGAGGAAGGGTCAATGGCATTTGGTTATAAACAAACCATATTAAGCAAAAACAGCAACATAGAACAAAACACAGCTTGACAACAGCCACCCAAAAGAGCAATACCCCTGGAACGAAAACAAATCATCCAGAATCTCTCTTGCACCAAACCAATGAGTGCAACAAGATCAAAATCAGCTTGTCCGATCATATCCAAATTCTTGACCTAGTGATCACAACAAACCATTTGCCGCCTCCTGGGGAAAATTCGAAGGCATCCATTAAAAAAACAATGAATCCTAGAAACAAGATTGCATCGTAGTGGAGGAGAATATGAAACGAACTGCTCCAAGCTGAAGAGGCAGAGGAAGTCGAGGTAGAGAGACCGAGTTCGCAACATAGCAAAATATCACAAGGGAGCCACAAATCTCCATGGAAAACACTGATTCCCAACCGCAACCACCGGGGAAGACCCTACCCTCCACGATTCGACGGCTCCCCAAGCAACACAAACACACAGGGGGAGGTCAGAAGGGGAAAGACGAGAATGTCTTCACGACAGAATGAGACCACTAACTTGGGAAAAGCACCGCTCATCCTGATATGGAAGATGCTCCCAGACTGCTAACTCCGGATCCTACATTTAGCTAGCCCATAATAGAGAACACAAGATCCGAAAAAAGAGCACTAGCTCAACTTGAAAGGGGAAAAGCAGAAGGCCGCAACGACAATGAAAAAATCGAACTAAAATTCGACGGAAAATGCCTAGATCAAAGGCAATAGAACAAAGCATGAAAAAAGGAAACGTGGAAGATTGGGCCACTGCCAGTCACCAAAACAGAGCCGGCGGAAGCCCCCTGAAATAAGAAGAGGACTGGAGGAAGAGAGAAGGCGGTGCAAAATTCAAATAAAAGTTCTAGCCTGTCTCAGTTGAAGTAAGAAATTCACTCACAAGATAATCATAAAAATGGGTTGCTAGCAACTGCCTTGCTAGCTAGGCTTTATAACCCCAAAAGAAGCAGAACATTGTGCCTGACTACTACAATCAATCTCAAAGACCAAAAGCTACTAATCCGCCCAGAACATACGAGTCCGGTGACTACCCAACACACACTCCACTTCTAATTTGATCATTCTTATCATGGTAGGAAGATCTCTAGACTTAGATGCATACAAACGATTACATCGCTCTCTCCAAATGTGACTCACCCAAGCCTGCCATATTAGTCTCCCTGTTTCAGCAGCCTCATTCGATGCCCCAAGCTTCCTTATCATCAATGATAGTTCTTCCTCCCAAGTAACCTGCAGAAACTGGAGAAGAGTTCTTCTAATAGCCGTCTGGAGAATGGACATTCAGCATAGAGATGACCCCTGCTCTCAATTAGAATTATTAAACGACAAGTAATCAAAAAATAAAATCACTGTTTCATACCAAAAAACTGCTAAACATAAATCACTTGCTGAATTAGTCTTTTTCGGGGCACTGTTCATGTTGGTGATTTTTTTCCAGCGGCAGGCCCATGGTATCACCAATAGTCCCTCGTGCGGCAACCAAAGAAATTTAATGTGCTAAATTCCGTCCGCCCAATAGCCAGAGACAAAGGTAACGGAGATGATTATGTGATTGGTACTGACAATTGAGAGGGAAGTTCTTTTTTGATTTGCTTGAATTACCCTTTTTTCATGTGAATTACCATTCATAATTCATTTATTTAACATTCTTTTCTACAGGGTAGAAGACTCATTGTTAGGAACACTAATTTATTTAGCATTTTTCTCTACTGGGTTGGTAGAAACTCATCGTTAGGAATTTAAAAAATTCTTATATTCAAAATTTATGATTTCTTATTAGAAATTGGGATAGTATTAGATCTGTTTCTACTTTTTGTAGCGAGTCTTATTAATCGGATTTTTTATACTCTACACTTAATTTTATCATAAGCTCTATTTGCCTACCATCAGTATTCCATCTCTTGCACCTAATTTCACACTAAACAAAACGTACAACATAACAATAATTTCTATAACTTCATTCGCTTATTGTTTACTAAGATTCATTTAATATCACCTACTATATTCAACATCTCATCAATTTGCATGTCACAAAATGAAGCTTATGTAAGATAGGTTAATCTTATGTAATAGTCTAATCAAATGTAAGTATGTAAATTGATTCTATTATTAGACCACACGTTACGGAAGATTACGTAATACCGTTCTATAACTGTTATTGAAATACAATATGTAGAACTTAAGAAAATTGAAGGGATAGTTAATTTCTTATGTATTGTCAAACAAATGTGTTACATAAGCTTTCCGTATAATTATCGCATACAACTATCTTGGTATTTATTAATTCTTTAATGAACTTTTTATACTCTACAACCAATTTTACCATATGCGTTGTTTTTTCCCATAGTCTGTTGTTTATGTAATTTTTTGTTTTCCATCTCCTCGGCAAGTTCACCATAAGAATTTTTTTACCTTCAAAGTACTTTTTATTTCACATTACGAAAGATTTACATATCACATAAATATTACACAAAACTTATAATTAACTACAATGCTGATCATCTCATCCATTTGCATTATACAAAAATTCTATATGGTAAGTTAATTTTTTTCATTGTAGTTTAATTAAATGTGCTACTTTTCATAACATAATTTTATTATTAAATCATACACTACATAATATTTATGTAAAAATATTAAATAAAAATTACGTAAATTTTATGTATCAATTAAACAAAATGTACAACATAAGTGTTAATGACTCACAAAATACGCAAACTTTGTGGAGTGACAATAATTTCTATAACTTCATTCTCTTATTGTTTACTAAGATTCATTTAATATCACCTACTATATTCAACATCTCATCAATTTGCAGGTCATAAAATAAAGCTTATGTAAGATAGGTTAACCTTACGTAATAGTCTAATCAAATGTAAGTATGTAAATTGATTCTCTTATTAGATCACACATTACAGAAGATTACGTAATACCGTTCTATAACTATTATTAAAATACAATATGTAAAACTTATGAAAATTCAAGGGATAGTTAATTTCCTATGTATCATCAAACAAATGTGTTACATAAGCTTTCCATATAATTAAGATATCATGTAAAGCTTATAAAAGAGCTTTACTTTATTTTGTTAATAATTTCATTCCAACTAAATCATTAATGAGTGCATAAAAATTTATTTAAAAATAATTAGTTTATTACCGCGGCGAAGCGCGGGCCAAAAGACTAGTATCTGCATTACACAAACAACACTCCAAAGAACAGCCTGAGTACCCCACTTCAACATTTTATGCTTTGTGTTAATCTTGCCATGTATGACCAGCCAAGTAATAATCCTGTATCTCGGGATCGACTTACCCTTCCAAACAATTTTCCACCAAGGAACAGTTTGTTGAGCAGGCCGAAGTAGATTCCACACTCTTTTGATTGAAAACTTAATCATGGGAGAGCCATCCAGCAAAAGCTGGTCATTTCCAACAGATATAATATAAGCGCCTCCACTCTGCTCCTTAGCTTAAGAATTCTGTTCCAGTTCTATGAGCCATTTGTGCATGTATATGTCCAGAAATCTCGCCCTTTTAACCGGAGAAAATAAGAAAAATATATAGCAATTAGGGTTAGAAGTTTTTTTGGGTTGTTGATTATTTAACATAACCTCTATTGAATGTTAACCATTAGATCAATTTTGTTTTTATCTTCCCACTATAAACATAATTCATTTTTGGTCAAATTTACTATAAACCTAATTAGTATATGCTAACTAGGACATATGTAAGCATCCTATCTTCTCCTTTTATGACTTCTTTTGCAGCTCATTTGATGTGGAGGGTAAAGAGATCTATAGAATATGATGGAGAAATGTTGCTGTCTGTCTAAATTGGACCAATTGACTGACTCCATTAATTATCAAAATTTCCCATGAACACACACACCACCTTTCATGAGTTGGAGAAAAGAATGGTAGACAAGAAAAGAGAAGGAATTATAATTACTAGTAGTAGTATATGTGTGACCACTGTACAAAAAGGAAGAAGGTCGTTTTCAGTAGACAAAAAGGGAAGAACACCTACCAAATACAATTTTACAGGGGTGGGGTTATCTTCCTTTTGGAAGGTGATTCAAACAAGGTGAGTTAAAGTTTGGCTATAAGGATTGAAAACAAATTAGGAACAATTGGGTTAAAGAATAAAGGATAAATATAATTACTTACTCAAATCTTCTAACTTTTAATAAAATATTAGCTAATTTTTTGCTCCACATTAGATTCCACAAATTATAATTCAAATTTCTTTAAATTTTTCAAAATAATAGTCGCAATTTTATAAAATTTCAAAACTTTTTAGTTTTTGTTTTGTTATCGTTAATGACACTCCAAATCAATTGGAACATAATAAGATTCCACTAAAAATAAGAGTTAATTTTTTCCAATTTAAAGTTGACTAATATTTTGCTAAAATGAAAGAGTTAATTTTCTGAATCGCTATTCGTCGCCCTAAAATTTAAATTATATCGCCCTAAAATACATCACATTGACACCTTTACCCTCTGATCCCAATTTCTAACCAAAACCTTAAACAAACATCCTTGCCAGCCGCCGCCGACTCCTCTATCCTCCGTCCGCTGCTGCCGGTGTCGGATTCTTCTCGCCGGCAACTGTCCACCTAAACCCGACCGTCGCCGATGCTCTGCTTCTACTGCCGGAGTCGATCCCAAGCAGGAGGAAGAAGACGAAGAAAAAGAAGGTCGCCGCCCAGGAGAGGTTGCCGACCAGTCCGAGCTCCCCGGCGTCAGGTTTCCAACCTGCCGTTGTGGTATATGGAACGGGGGAAAAAGCCCATCCGCAACCGATTAGGCCAAAAATCATCGATTCGTCAACACTAATTCCTCTCTTCATCGCAATTTCCCAGCATTGGTGTTCCTTATTTTTTTTGAGAATTGCACAGGGACATGGAATGGCGGCGAAGCGGCGGAGGAAATTGGTAGTTGTTGATATATTTTTTTTAAATTTTTTGGATATTCTTTTTTAATTGTTACATTTGGTTTAGTTGTAAGTTTTAATTCATTAAATTTTTTATACTTTATTTTGTTATTGAGTTTTAGTGTTTATGTGTTTTGAAATAAAAAATTAATCTAAGGATATTTGAGTCATTTTAATAAAATTTAGGGCGACGAATAAGGTATTTTAGGGCGACAAATAGCAATGCCCTTAATTTTCCCTTAAAATTGCTAAATGCCACCCTAAAAAACATGAAAGTTACAAATTTAACCTTTTAACTTCTTTATTCTTCCTTTAGCAAACAAACACCACTTAGTAAAGAAAATAAAACATTATTCAAAAGAGAGAATCCATCATCGTCATTCTGGAGTTGGAATCGTCGATATGATGTCTGGATCATGACTAGCTACTCTGAATCGGTAAAGTTCACTCCAAAAATTGAAAAAAAAGGGAAACGTTGCTCATTTGCGGTTGCACCATGGGCCAACCACAACTCACTTGCGGTTGGTCCATGGTGCAACCGCAAATGAGCTGCGGTTGCACCATGGACCAACCTCAACTTGCCTTAGGTTGAGCATTTTTTTGGAAATTTCGTTAGAGAACGGGCGACGACGACGGCAGGAAAGACGCCGACGAACTGGTGCCTCGAGAGGGATTTGCGAAGAAGGCAGATGAGGGGTTCAGTATGAGGGGTTAGGGATTGTTTGGTTTGTTTAAATTTTGAAATTTTATTGGGGCTATATAAGTCATTTATCATTAAAGTTAGGGCGACCGTTAGCAATTTTAAGGGTGACATTTAGCGATTCAGAAAAAAACAAGATTGAAACTTTGGGCTTAATTGCAAGTTTGGTCACTCGAATTGCTATAAAATTTTACGTTTGCCACTCAAATTAATTTATTCCATTTACAGTCACTCGAATTAGTTGAACAGTTCAAGTTTGGTCACTCTCCGTTAACCTCCGTTAACTTTGACTGACGTGGCGGTCAACTCTGACAGTTGACCGTTAAATGTGTGACGTGGCAAATAAAAAATAATTAAAAAATAAATTTAAATTTTTAGAAATTACACATCATTATAAAAAAATTATAATTATAAAAAATGAAAAAAAAGAAATTATCACACTCCTCGCCGACGGGATTCATCACCGCCTTCTCCACCTGGTCTCTGGAGCCCACCCCGATCTCCCTCCGCTCTTCTCTCTCCTTCTCCGGCCACCTCGCCGAGCTCGAGCGGATCCTTGTTCAGGCCATTCGCGAGGGCCAGGAGCCCAGAACTCTCCAGGTAACGTAATTCCTTTCTTTTTCTTCTCGTTCTTGATAGCCTGCATTTTGTGGTGAAATTTAATCAGCTTCATTGGTGTTGAGCAGGAAATCTCCATTGCTGCCAATGTCCCGCAGAAGGAGATTGGGAAATACATCAAGATACTAGGAGAAGCTCTGCAGCTTAGCCAGCCCCTTAATAGCGATTCCATCTCTGTTCATATGCCCAGATTCTGCAACCTTCTCCAACTCAACAAATATGCTCAGGTAATTGGTTTCGCAACTTCGATTCCACTCAGAGAATGTGGGTTGATGTTTGGTTGGTTACCCTTTTACATTGGTTGGCGACGGCTTCTGATCGTGCATCAGCGACATTACGTGCATCTGCAGCGCGCTGTAGTTGTTGTTGACTTGATTCAGCATGTCTCTCAGCCGGAGATTCTCCACTTTCACCCGCTCCAGCTCCGCCTGTAGAACCACCATCTGAGATGATAATTAAAATATGATTCGCAATTAAGAATAAATTAATTTCTTTTTTTGTGATAATTTCTTTTTTCTTTTTTTATAATTATAATTTTTTTTATAATGATGTGTAATTTCTAAAAATTTAATTTTTATTTTTTAATTATTTTTTATTTGCCACGTCACACATTTAACGGTCAACTGTCAGAGTTGACCGCCACATCAGTCAAAGTTAACGGAGGTTAACGGAGAGTGACCAAACTTGAACTGTTCAACTAATTCGAGTGACTATAAATGGAATAAATTAATTTGAGTGGCAAACGTGAAATTTTATAGCAATTCGAGTGACCAAACTTGCAATTAAGCCAGCTTCTTTCGCACTTATGTTTTGAATTCGTGTGTTGTGGAATGGAGATCGGCTGAGCGGTGAGGGTGGTGGCCGGTGGGGAATTCCCAAGTTCACGAGAAGGGACAGGAAATTTAAAGCCCCCTAATTTCCATTCATTAATTTTGTTGCAGCCACTGAAACTGCAAGCAAAGCAAAGCATGCAGCAGAAGAAGAAGAATATGGAGTCAAAATAAAGATAGCCCAAGGAGAGGAGCGGACTGGTCGTTCACGTGCCTTCTTTGCCTTTTTATTCCCACTGTATGTATATATTGTTTGTTTGTGCTGACTGCGGAGGCGTGAGGGAGAGTCAAGAGTGTGAGGAGGAAAGCATTGTCTCATTCCACAGCTTCCCCTTTTGAAAACCCTAATAAATAATCAAGCGAAGGGAAGGTAAGGAAAGCAACACACAGAATGGAATGGAAGTAGAGCAGCCAGCAGGCATCAGGACATTCGTTGTAGCTAATCTAAACTAAACACATTTAACTCTTTGCGTTGCGTGCAACGGTTACCCAACCCCCAAACCAATGCAACGCAAATTGATTACTACCACGTTTAGATAGGAAGCTAACATAAAATAACTCAGATCCGATACTCGTAGTATTCCGTTTGATAGCCTGCAACGGTGCTACTAATTCTTCTTCTGCTCGTGGTAAATCAAAAGGCAATCTCTCACGTCGTTCTGCTAGGAAAGAGATTAAAACCCTTATTTTTAAATGTGGCTCAACTATATCAAAACTAAATCTTATCTCATCACAAACCATGCTCCTAGCTACTATTTCCATTAACATGTCCTATCTCCCTTGTTTCTTTTTTTTTTTTTTTGGTCTTTCTAGCTCCATTTTGGGCAACCAAACTCTCAAGATGTTTTGCATGAATATTCCACAAGACAGATCAACAGTTTCATAATACAATTTGTTCGAACGATATTATCGAGAAAGTATATCCATAAAAACATATTAATAATAATGAAGTTCCAAAATTGTTAATAAAAATTTAGATGAGTTTACTCCTTCCAAATTAATGATCCTCTTTGTCGACAAATAAATTTAACACATTTCTTTTTTACTATTGCTTTAGCTCGGTTTCCAACTTTTTCCACTATTTGGGTAAAAAAAGTTCCTTTCGAGGAGGAAAGCAGGAGGAGGAGGACTTTAGTTTTGGGGAGCAACCTTCCTTCCTGGATAGAGATTGCAAGAAGAAGGGAAGCACAAGCAATTCTTTGCTATAATGCTCACATTTTTCATTTGTGAGTAAGTGCTTATAGAGATGTTCAGCTGTTGGATCGATCTTGTGTTGGACGGTCCACAACAGTTGGATGAACGCGGTGATAATTTTACGACTAATCACCAAGCACCCAACGAACAATTTAGTAACTGAGCACCCTGTGAGCACGTTCTTACGTACAAAAGTGCAAGCACAGAAGAGGCAGGACAGGGCAAGCCCCAACTAACTAACTAGCATTGATTTGAAAAGGGCCACCACGCCCTGCGGTCCTGCTGCTGCTGCTTTTGCTTTATTTTTCAGGTGAGAGAAGAGAAGGAAGGAGAAATGATACAAAGTGGGGGATTGAAAAAGGCAATAAAAAGAGAATCACCAAATGGGGAACAAGGAAAGATGAAAAGAGAAGGCAGATGATATGGAATGGAATGGGGGAGAATCAACAACAGAAGAAACAAAAGGCCGTCCAGCTTATACTTGCAGTATTCTTTTGCTTTTCTTCCATAGGGCATTTCTCTCATCTCTTAGCTGCTTGAATCTTGATTGGGATGCTTCGGGTTCAGGTTCGGGATTTCAGTCACAGGGTGAAACTATATACAATCTGCTTGAATCTTGTGCCCATTTCTAATTTGCGTCGGATCTTTAGATTATATGTTCATTTGTGTAATTGAGTGAGTTGATGGGTTGAAATAATTAGTGGCAAACCACATAAACATAAGGGGAAATGCATGCACTTATTTCTCATATTAGGATGCATCAATGTTCGAGAACTGATTAGCATATCCGGAGAACATATAACACAGCACAACAAAGATAATAAAAATGTCCTTTGAAGGGAGGATGAGATTTCAATTGGTGAAGACTCTACCAACGAGTCGAGAAGTTAGGTAGAAAATTACATGAAAAATGGGTTAAAGACATTCTGTTTGTCAAATACAAATAGAGATGGGCAAGTGATGTGAACATATATACGGAAATAAATTATCGGATCTTGTTTCTCCACTGTTGATCTTGTTTCTCCACTACTGCAACAAACTATGTTTCCCCTTGTTTGAATTGGAATAAAGATGCCACATGTTGTAATTGCGCTTACTCCCAAGTTAGCCACGAACGCACCAAGACATTTGTCGTTGTGATCCCGGAGAAGACCCCCAGCCGTCGCTTTTGAGTTAGGTTGCTTAACTGACCCGTCAGTATTGACTGTGATCCAGCCCTCTGGCGGGGGTATCCAGGCCATCTCTTGACTTTTTTTGTCGTTGTCCCTTCCCAGCGCGCGAGAATCATTCTCCATGGCTTGCTGGATGCTTATTGTCCAGCACTGGATTCGGTATGCTAGGGAGTGTGCCTCTTCCCACTTTTGGTTGAAGACCCGTTCATTGCGTCGCCGCCATAGGTACCAAGCCGCCACGTCGAACAACCTTCCATGATTTGTGTCGAGGAGATGTGCAATCATCCAACCTGAAAATTCAAGGCCGCAAGTGAGTGTATTATCGCTAATCCCCAGACGTTGCCATACCTTTTGTGCCTCAGGACAGTGTCTAATAAAGTGTTTCGTTGATTCTGGTTCGGTGTTGCAGATGACGCATGTGTCCGAGCTACAAAGCTTCCTCCTCTTCCGTTCACAATTGGTTATCAGACGATTGTGAAAAACGAGCCACAGAAAGTGACGAAATCTGTTTGGTCCGCTCCACTTCCAAGTTGTCCGCTAGCGTCTCATGTCTTGGGGTTCCTCCTCTTTATCCATTCATTCTTCTAACTAGACGCTTGCCGCTGCATAAGCTGACCGGAGTCAGAATTTTTCATCAGCTTCTAGTCCCCACGACGTGATGTCTTCGCCAACATCTGGGATGGGAGCTTCCATACCTGCAATAAGGGCAGAGATCTGTAAAAGAGAAGAGTTCGTGAAATAGAAATGGAACGAGAACAATTAGGGATTGGTTGATATCATCTTTAAGCTCCTCCATACACCTAGGTGGAAAAGAACTCCTCGATGAATACTTTTGATAGGGTCTCCAAGTTGTTGAAGGTGTGAGGCTGATGATAGTCTAACCACTTCATCACCTTTCCTGTCAGTTTGAAAGGGAATACTCTCAATTGAATGGCTCTTTTGGTGGCTTCATCTTCGGGAATAAAATCTAGGATCTCCAGGAGTGTCTTTAGATGTTGCACTAGATCGGCATCACTCCTTCTTGCAAACCTTACACCTTGTGGCACCATCTGCATCAATGATGTGCAGATCTCCATGGTTGTTAGTGGTGCAACAATGCTCAAAGTGATGTTCGAAGCTCTTGATCTTGAATACTCATAAAGAGTAGTTAGAATCACATTCCTTGCTCCTCTCCCATTTATGTTGATGTGGAAGATGCTTTAGAGGATGTTCGTCTCCAAAATCGAAGTTGATGTCTTCATCAATTTCCTTCTCCCAACTCGAGTTAGACTCAAGATAAGTGTTGCTTGAAATGTCCTTTTCTCATGAACTAAATCTAAAGATAATACAGAGACATAAGGTGGTTAGATGCTTTCATATACTACTAAAAATCCACCTTGATAGCAATCCGTGTACTAGTCATACCTTGATGCTTTCATATTCTAGAAATGTCTATGATGGTATTCCACAAGGCTTTTTAATAATAGTTACTCACATCTAATCATCTAATGCTCAAACAATGACTCAACAGAAATAGATGGGTTGATCTTCCCTATGTTTAGTTGGTTTTAGAGATGCATATAAAGTAAAGCATAACATAAAAACAAGAAAAGTGAATATACGGATGGAGAAGAAAGCTAATCCTAGATGATCATGCATTTCATTCTCAATAATGATAAGCTACGATACATATTCTATTATGTATCTCTATCCCTCCCACTAAGGTCATCCTATTAGAGGTTTTATCACATGCAATAGAAATTATGACTAGCTATTGTGTGTTTTCGCTTCATGTCACTATACTAATCAATCAACGAAGGAAGTAAGTAAGTAAGGATATCACGTCACTATTTAGGGCCTCTACAAACCGTAATGATGATGTATACAATTGATAATCTAAGGTATCAAGCATTGCACATAGTCGAGTATAGATGGGTGATCAACCCATTCCATACACTCCTGAGACAGTCACATATCACATAAGTTGGGTTTCCCATGCAACATACAATGATATTATAAACAACATTATAATAAAATATAATAGATGTTGTAGACATCACATGATTAAAGCGTCATATAACTAAGGCATTCAAATATCATAAGCATCACATGACATATGCATACAATGGTATAATCATCACATGACTAAGGCATCTAATGAAATAAGTATCGAATAACATAGATAAAAATGAATAAAAGCATATCATATAAAAAGATGGTATAAGCATAAATGCAATTCAAGTCCTTGATAATGAAACTGAACTAACAATTCATAGAAGAGAAGAATGATATCACCATTGATGATAAACGTATCTTCTTATACCAATGAAACTCTGATTTATTATATTGGAGATCAATATGACAATATCGCAACAAGGAATTTCTTGTTGTTCGTATCGATGTCGCCTTGCAACCTAGATGGACGAGCATCAACTATTAACGAGGAAAGTTGAATAAGACTTAGACGAGGGTAAATGTTGAACCAACAAGCATTTCTAACATACTTTCGTGGTTAGTTGACTTCTTATATATATTCATTGAAATAATTGCATGATTTTTATATTTAAGATTTTTAATTGAATTCATTATCTAGGTTGAATAAGCTAGTGTTATCTCATGACCAACACGAAGAAAGAATGGAAGATGGAACATTGTTTGAATATCCTCCAGCATTTGTCCAAAATTTATGCAACAATGGTCTGCCCCGGAAGGACCCATTCCACAAATAATAGGATCTTCTTCTTGTATGCCTTCTGATGAAAATGAGAGCCTTGATCTTTATGCAAGAGCGGTTCCTTATATCATCAACCGTCGTGAAGTTTGAGATGAGCAAAAGAAGAAGAATATAGGACAAGATGATTCTTCAATGGTGGATTTTTCCTAGAGTATGACCGAAAATGGTGGCTTCTTAGGGAACACATGCAAGATTCGCAATCATTAGAGAAGAACATGAGAGGGCCCGGGGAAACAAGGGAAAAGAATAAACACGGCCAAGAGATCATGAGTAAGAAGCATTATCAATTTAGCCCTCATACACAAGTGCGTATGAAATGCAAAAAGATCAAATCATAGTTGAGTACCAAGTTGAATTAACAAAAATTATATCGAAATGTTCGTCATAATTAATTATGACTAGCTATGTAAAAATAATAACTAAATTATTTAAATAAAGTAAGAAAACCAACAGTAAATTTCGACTAAAAGTGTTTTTGGTCTTTTCCTACTTTCTTTGTGGCGCTAGTATTATCCATTTTTTTGCTTTAATTTTCCCTCTTTTCCACCTATCATTGGAGATTAGACCTGACAATCGGGTCAGGTTGGGTACTTTAGGGTTAAGAATCTCGAGTTACAAGTCATCACGGGTCGGGTCATGTTGGATCGCCTGATTTCAGGTCAATTATTTATCCAAGATTTTAGGTCATTTCAGGTTATGAGCGTTCTCAGAAACAATATCAAACATGCTTCATAAATTTTTGAAGAAGACAAATTTTTACATATGTATGACAATAGGAAATGGAACGGGTCTAGCCGGTCGTCCAGCTAATCCACCCAATCCGACCCAAAAAAAACTACCGGTTAATTGGGTTCGAGTCATTCGGGTTTCGAGTTATAAAAACTTTGACCCACTTTTATTTTTCGGTGGGTCAACGGGTCGAGTCGTGATTCGCCAAATCTATTGGAGATAATCTTATGAGGGCAATTTCTCGGTCAAGTCGGCTTATCATGCCATGATAGGATCCATAGTTGCAATCCTTTGATTGAACGCTCAAATAAAGGTCAAGTTTGTGCCTAGAAATTTTAGTGCTACAGCTCCTCTCTAACATATTGATCCAGTTTCTGATTTCCTTTACTCGTGTAACCCTTGTTCTCGTCTCTTTCTTTGGTGGAATAAAAGTGTAACCTATTTTGTCAAAGAAAATAAGAGAGAATTGAAGGACGACGTTGGGTTGGCCGCAAGAATCATAATCCTAGTCGGATGCCAAGTCTTGCTGTTTTTCTACTAGATATTGTTATCATCTCAGCCTGAATTAATTATCCAACATCTCTATCTTGTATAAATAATGGCAATCGTCCTAATGACTAGGAGTCGAATTTCGCGCAGTCAAAAAACACGTACACATTGATAATTATCCTCCTCGATCGACAGCAGTCGATTCTCGCCTTCTCTGTGTTTCCAAGCATGGCTGCGGCTAACCCACGGGCGTCGCTCTTCAATTCCACTGCTGGCAGCAACAGCACTAGCGGTGGTTCTTCTTCTTCTTCTTCCCCTAAGGCAGCTCTATTGTGGTAAAAGCATTTAAATTAACCTTGGAAAACGTAGTTAATCTTCTCAACATCTATTAATTAAATAGATTAAATCCCGTCCTTGGGGGTTTTTGCTTTTGCTTGAGTGATGTCAGTTCGTTTTGACTAGCCTGTCCCGCGTGTCTAATCCCATTAAATTTTGCTGTGTTTCTGACTGACTTATCGATGCAACATTGCCACTGTTGAAGAGTAGGGTTATAATTGCAAGGGTTTATTTATTGTGTGGCGTAAAGGAAACTCCAAACAGGAACATTAATGGTGTCTGACTGTCTGTCAGTTTGGCTCAAAGTTGTTAGTTTTTTTTTTAATTAATGTTCCCCGACACATGGTCTGAGGTTACTGTTTCTTCCTCGGTGCTAGTGCTACAGATGGAGGATTTAAATGCACACATGGATTGGGGAACACTGGTTTATTATTATGTTTAACTTGTTGATCAGGTTGGAAAAACACGAGAGGAAGCAGACCAAAGAAGCAATGAGAGAAGCCAACGGGAACAACAACACCACCACCACAACAACAGCAGCAACTGATCAGACACCAAAATCAGGGAGGAGGGCTTGCCTTTGTTCTCCTTCCACCCACCCTGGCTCCTTCCGGTGTCGATATCACAAGACGAGCTCCGCTCCTGCTCCTGCGCCCCAGAAACCGAAACCATTTGCTTCTTTGTTGCAAAATGGCGGCCTATTGCCCACGAAACCCAGATTCGACTCCGCTCCCAGTTTTCACTGTGGCAGCAGCGGCAAACAACGACAGTTATCTAGGTTCGGCAGGGCTGCCATTGCTCCTGCTGCTACTGCTTCTGGGACCTCCAATGACTAGTTTTCATGTAGTTGGGAGGCTCTCTTATGAGATGATGTAGATACTGGAGAAGTGAGATTTTGACTACTTCCCTTTATGGGATAGATTAATGATAGATGAATTACCCACAAGTTCGATTCAAAATAACAGCACCATTTCTAGTAACATGCTTTGGAATTACTTTCACTGCTTTCTCTCCTGAAACAGTCCAACATCAAGCAACGAAGTCGATTGTTGTTGCTCACGATTCCACATCGAGACTCTGATAACTGAGTCCTTCTGGGGGAGTTGCATTTAATGCTCTTTCTCAATTGTGGTATAATTAAGACTAAAAAAACAGATTAGGAGGATGACCAACATACAAATCTAGATTATGATATTTTCAACTCAGAATCAACGAAAAGATGGGAGACAAAATGTACCATGTACACACCAAGTGGATTATGATTGAAGGAAAGAAAAGATAGGGGGGCAGTTTAAGTTACTTGCATTGCTCTGAAACGGACGGTTAGATCTCGGACTCTTTCCCTCAGACGATCAGGATTGCAGAAGAAGTCCACAAACACTTGCCTCTGAATCCCCACTTCTTGTGAATGATGCTTCACTATCTGCATTGCCCAACATAATTGGATGTAGAAAAATATGTCAACTACTCTTAACAAAGATACTTACAGCATACGGCATTCATATTATAGAACTCTGAACTCAGCACACTAAGTTAGGGTAACCATTCCAGATCTGCTGCAGAGGTAGTATATAAGGCCAGATGAATTGGGACGTTATTTTGTTGCGGCAATTTGTTATTTACATAAGGTGGTCAATTTGAAGCGTCATAGAAATCTTTGTTGTCTTCATTATGCAAATGGGAAAGCATTCTAGTAATTGTTTTGAGGTTAAGTAGGCATCTGCGGAGTTCATTTACCCATCAACGATTGCAAAAACTAATCAGAAGCATATAAAATTGGGGTGGGGGAGCCACGATTCCTTCAAAGGAAGACAAAGGTTTACCTCGTTCTTCTTGCAGTGTTCAAGTGTAACTTCTTCAACTGCAGCAGCTAGATCAGCATTGGTCTTCCCCATGTCATCAAGCTCCTTCATCAATGCTCGAGGAGTAAGAATCGGCTGTGCAGTAGTTGAAGATGCAAACAACAGCTGCTGCATACTTTGTATTAGCGTGCACCTGACAACAACAACAACAACAATAAAAAAAGAATAATACGTTCTTAGATTTTTTATTCAACAGAGCACATAGGGTCGGCTGTACAAAAATTGAACTTACAAGCAGTGTTCAAGTCACCAAAATCATCTACCCAAAAAAATCGTCAAAATCATCTCAATCTACCTAACCCAACTCAACTCACAAGCGACATTATTATGTACAGTAAGTTTAATAAAAAGCATATGCACTTCTGTGAGGGGACACGGAAAATCAAAATACTGTAGCTTCTCCAAGTAGTAAAGCATCAAAAGAGATTAAAACAGACCACTCTTTCGAATCTTTGGCAGTGGGTGAGGCGCAAGCATGTATGTCTTGCACTACTGTTCTTAGTCAAAAATAAAAAGCAACCTCTAAACAGCAGGCTGAAGCCCAAACATTCAATTACTACATCAACAACTCTACCAGGCTACCGATTTGGCCCAAAACTTTTCACGCTTGAGGCAATAGTATTCTTTTTTAAGTTTGGTAGAGTATGGCATCATCAAATTTCATGGTTGCTTAAGTAGACAAATTCTCAGAAACTTCTAAATATCTGATATATGCTAGCACCATGAAATTTGGCCAGTTGGGAAAGAAGTAAACCGTGATTTCAATATATATAAACAAGGTATTCCAGGACTTAAACACTGCTAGGGGGAACTCACAGCTCATTGATGCATCTATTTCTGTCTTCTGGGAGTGAATTATCAAGATCAGACTGCAGCGACGTCAAATCTGACTGAAGAGCAGAAATTTGTTGCACAATACCAGGAGCTGATACATATGCCGACAATCCAGCTTGAACATCTAACAAAAAACAACAACCAGCCAGAATTTTTTTTATTTTATATCTAGGACCTATTGATTATTGACTTAATATGAGAAAATCCGAGAAAGCACAAGGGGGTTTTGGTTATTTACTAGAATGAATGCTTAGAAGGTCCCTGATACCGTGCAGAAGTGCATCTCGGTCATCTACTGCGCCTTGTTCTTGAATATCAGATGCAGCTTGAATCAGTGCCAAGTAACGACCCTGAAAAGAATAGTGATTAATCTTGTCAGCAAACAAGATTTGCTGAGAATGACATGATTAGCGTTATCGGGTCCTTCCTAAATAAATAATTATAAGTCCAAGAAATTTTAACATACCACTCGGCCCTGGGTCGCTGACAGATAACCTTTCAGTTCTGACTCAATAACTTTAAGTAGTGAATATGCTCCAAGCATGTTCTTCTTTTCGAACTGACAGGCTAACTTTAGGAACTGATGCCTTGCTAGCTGATTTATGAGATGAGTTATAAACTGCAGCCAGAAATTAAGAGTGTTAGCATTACAACATATACGATTCACAGTATTATTCTGATGCGCTATAATAATAATAACAATAATAATAGCATGTAAATATATTTCTATCACCGTGATAAATAATAATAATAATAATAATAATAATAATAATAATAATAATAATAATAATAACTGGTTTTGTCATACATTATAAACAAGTGTGCAGTAAAAACCAATAAGGGAAGTATAGTAGGGGTCCAGGTGAGCTCAAGAAGAAATATGGCTAAAAAAGGTACCAGTTTCTGCCTTGTAATGTAGTGCTCTTGTCGCATGACCTTTAAATCATAGTCACCTGCAAGCACAACAAGCTAACCTAGATTATCTAAGATCCAAAAAATATATCACAACACAAAGTATGATGCTCCATACCTTGTAGAATATATGTATCTTGGAGCTGAGCCAGCTCCCAACAAAGTTCTGGAATTGCCTGTTAAATTTTGTAACAATCAGCAAATGATTAAGGCATATATAAGTGGTTGCTGGCTTATTACTTATTAGTAAGCAAGATGCTTTTAAGTTATAGCCTTATATTACTACTATGGCCCTTTGTAATTAATTTGTCAGCCATGACCAGCCAACCTGCATGCCAGACAGCAAATTGCATACCAAGCAGTCCTCCAATTGACAAAAGGAATTCTAGTTACATCAATAAATAAATAGTCACCAATAACAACGCCTATTGCTATAGAAACCGAGCAAAACAACCTAGGGTTCTGTCTCTCTACCATTTAAGTACAACTGAAAGAATATCAAGAAAATATACCAATGTCTGAAATTGGTTATTTAGAGACCTGGGAAGGTAGGAAAATATGTAGATTACATACAAACCTCAGATAGTAATTTTTCTTCCTTGTGATGAAGGCTTGAGAGTTCTGTGACCAGTTCTGAATGCTTCCTCCTGCCCATATAGATAGTATGCAAGAGTAAAATGTCATCAGAAAAATTGGATCTATTTATAGACCATCTTCCAAATGAAAACCAACTGTCATAGAACTAATAGATTCGATTCCATTTGTTTAGTTGGGATCATAAGACAGTGGAACAGATGTAAGAGAAAGGGGAAGAAATATCTCTCCTAGGGATACATACATCTTAAAAGCAAAATAGTGAAGGTCTCCAAATTATTAGCTGCCAAAAGCATGGTTCAATCAAGGAAATTTCCTTTTAGTTTGAACAATTATTCTTCATTAACTAAGGAAAATTGGGAGCAAGAGATGTGATGTGCAAGTTCAATTATCCCAGACAAAAGAATATTTGAAAAAAAGCAACGAACTTTACCTGAGAGAATGAAGATCAAGATGGATGTGTGCTTCATCAGATGCAACCTGAGATTTCAAAGCCACAAGAATAGCTTGCTGCTTTGCATTCTCAACCTGGGCTTCAACCCATTGTCTCTCACTTGTTCCAAATCTGCCCATTAAGCAAACATCTCATTGATTATTCTCAAGTCAGATCAAATAGCATCAGGCACACCTACCAAAAAGATACATAGCTGCATTTCTGCTGTTGTCTCAAATTCTTCTTATATGTTGAGAAAGACCTCCAAATTAATAAATTCAGAGGAAAGGACCTAACCACGATCAATGAGAAGGGACAACTAACATGGAGATGCATGCACGTAAGAGCGTAAGGAAAGAGACTAATAGATGAATAAAGGGGAATGTGAGCACGGATATGCTTCTCAACTTCTTATATTGATGTAAGTTGCTCTTTTTACAGCTTACAGCATCATCATTAGCAAAGAGTATTTTCTTTAAGTTGAAGTAAATAAAAAAAATTGATGAATTACTATCTCTCCATTAAACGGAAAATTTACAACCAAATAGCTATGTTTAATATAGATGAAAGGTGTGTGATCTATTTTATCCAAATGGAACCTCATCAGCTCCTTAGAGACAGAAAAGTTTACCAGTAGAGCTCCACAGTATTCAAGAAACCAATTTGCCGAACACTCAGTTCCGATGAAGTAGAAGAAAATTAGAAAACACAAAAGGAGAACTACATACATAGATCGAAGTCTCTGCAGTTCAGATACTCGCTGCTGATGTGATATTTCTATATCTGCAACATCCAAAACAAACATTATAAAATCAATAAGCATACTATTCAATACATTATGTTGATGCTTACACAAGTATATATAATCTGTGAGATGTGCTTGTCTCCAGCACTGGTAGTAGCCATTTTCATCTAACAGGTACCGAAAACAGTTCAGAATTAAAGAAGGGGAATACCTCTTACTATAACATTTGATACGTCATCAAGACTGACCCAAGAGCATTTTGATTTTCCTTCCTCTGCAACTAGTCTGAAAGGACCCTAATTATCATCACAGAATAACAGAAATAAAAAGTTCAGGACCATTTAAAGCAAATCGTCTATGAACTAGTAACACATATTTTCATCAGGTCCCTACAAGAAGATATGTCAAGCTTCTCACATATATGAGTTTACGCACTAGAGAAATAACAGCAAGCAGAAAATATGAAAGCAAGCTGCAGTTTCATATGTTCTAGAAATGATTAGGCAAAAAATTTATCTGCATTACATAGCAATTCATCAACAACTGCAAGAAGAAATAGATAGTTTATTCAATAGATCGAAATAAATGCATTGAGTCATCTCCATACCGTGTCCAGTTGTTTAGAAAACCACTGATTTATCTCCCTCATGTAAGAAGAATCGCCAAGCAAGTACGGGTTGAAATCCGAGTAAGCCAAGTAAATGCCATCCTCTGTGCAGAATTCAAGTTGCAAGGTCATCACAGAAAGAGAAAGATAAGACATATAAGTTGGGCCCCTGTATTCTAACATATGCGAAAAAGACCTTTCGGAGAGAATAGGATTCCAAGCCTTCTTTGTTCTATTTCATGTTCACCCTCTACTCATTCGCAAGATTAGCTACCAATGTCTTTCTCTTTTGTATATACAAGACCCCAATGATGCCTCTTGATATAACATACCTTAAAAAATGTTTATGCTACTACTGGTTTACTTGAGTTTCATTTTTTAGTGTGCTCTAACTTATTTAGAAACACGAAGAATTTGATGGGGCGACGGGCAAAGAACAAGCATTACCATCCCCAGAATGGTAATTAGCCAACTCCTCTGCTGCAGAAGCAATCCTTTCAAGCACTTCATTCATCTACATCGAATGGTGAATTAAACAACATAAGCATGGTGATACTATGAGATGTAGCTACTCAAGGATGTAGAAATACAAAGAATGGCCAGTGTTGTTTGAGAGATGATGCTCTATATTGCAACTGAAGGATCATAAGGACAGATTCACTAAACATACGCGCAAGTTTCTGGCTGACAAACTGTCATCTATCGTTGTAAGGTGCCCATTAACTGCAGATGTTGCAGCAACTCGAGCACGCCTTCCTTGTACCAACGTTGATGCTTGGCCAGTAAGCATTTTGAATTGAGACTGCAGATGGCTGAGCTGGCTCTGCAACTCCAGAGCTTCAGTCTTATATGCCAAAGTCGCATCCCTGGTATCAAGTCGAGGTTGTCAGTATCCCAAAATACCATATCAAGCTTCATTGAAGACTTGTTTCCAAGAAGAAAACAGATGTACCGGCAAATGGATACCAAAGTTGCGTGCATCATCAGTTAGTTCCAAAATATCTTTCACCATGAAAAGAGAGCACATCAAAATCAAATTAATCAGAAAAGCATAAGTCTACATGTCCCACACCTTATATCTTTTAAACTTTCTTCAGCCCCAAAAACTGCCTCCTGGTTGTCTCGGCTAGAAGAAAATGCTGAAATACTATCATAAGCCGAGTCCAAGTCACCCCCCTGTCAGTTTGAGACATTCAATTATGCAATGCATACTCACAATGTAGAAACCGAATGCTTGCAGTTTCCTACCCATGAGAAAAATGCAAGAAAGCAGGAGATTGTTGAGCCCTGTACTGGTTGATGTTTGCTTTGTTCGGGATAGAACTCTCGCGTTCATGACAAGATTCATGAGGTAATATCACAAAATTGAAGCACAATACTAGATCTGCCTGCTTGAGTTCAAATCCCCTCCTAACAATTCTATGTTGCCTAAGCTTAGTTCTCCTTTTTGTCTGAATGGCTTATATCGATATGTGACACGGTTTAGGAAGAGCAAGCATGAGAACTGAGAAGTTTACCTCCAATAACTTCCCTTCTTGCAGAAACTGCTCATACCTAGAAAGAAAGAAAGAAAATCACAAATTCGATGAACGAGCAGAAGATATTACTAATTCCGAAGGAAGGACAGAGTAATTAAATCAGATGCGGGACACTGAGAGTGAGTAGCTCAATTCGGTGAACTCTGAGCCGCCCAATCCACAGGATTCGCAGTTCTATCATTTCCCTCGATTCTTATCATGGAACGAAGAAAGTGCAAGCAGTACTAACTGGGAGAGCTCGGCGAGGGAGAGGACATTGGAAGGGCGGAGGCTGGAGCAGATCCATTCCAGAATGGGGCGAGCGTCATCGTATTGGAAGGGCCATTCGAAGCTGTCAGGGTCCAAAGACTCAGCACCTCGGTACCCCAATTCGCCCAGCAATCTGCACAATCGACCGCCGCTCATTTCGTTCCCCACTCAGCCGCCGGCGATCGACCTAGATCTTCATGGTCGACCGACCTTCAATTCTCGATTTCTCGGTCAGCAAGGGCACTAGAGGGGAGGGGAGGGGATGGAATGGAACTTCCTTTTTTGTTTTGTCTTTCACTTCCCCTTTTTTTTTGTTGAGTTTTTGAATTGCGGGTGCAAAGTGCAAACCAAGGTTGTCAATCCGCGGGTTGACCCGGACCCGGTCGAGCTAGTGGGTCAAGGGTTAAAGGGTCAACCGTTTTAGCCCGGTTTGGCCCGGAAATATAGAAAGAGTCATTATATTGTACTTATCCTCATAAATTATATCAAATCTTATCTAACATATGAGTTATAACATATAATATTACACTAAAATAACATATCATACTTAGATCCAACATATAGTGAAAATTCACACACACTTATATAACATAAATATTCAAATGTTCAACTTAGTATTCCAAAGATTGAGTTAGGCGAAAAGAAAAATTGGAAAATAGGCGCATTTCGCAAACTAAAAAAAAAATGACACAATTTGACCTCCAACCCGGTACCTTATAGCGGTCGGCCCGGCGGGTGCGTGCGGCCCGTTTTTCTCACCGGGCCAGGGTCAAATTGGGTCGACCCGTGGGTCAACCCGCGGGTTGACAACCTTGGTGCAAACAGACAGGAGGGATCTTCAGTTCGCTTTTATCTAAATTTACTTTTGGGCCACTCCTAAATTTTGAACGTGAAAATGAACTTGTAGCTAGTTCTGTGATCCTAATTCCTAAATATGATCTATGTCAAGTACTCAACTTCAACGACATTAATTTGTACAAATTACAATTATTCATAGTGATCCGCTCTGCTAATTCTATTATCCTAAATTTGATGTATCTAAAGCTGAGATTCCCAAAGAATTATGTCTTCTTATTCAAAGTCAAAACATCTTCTTTATAATCCTTTTATTAAGGCACGATCACCATTTTAAGGTAACCGGTATGAAATTATCTCGTCAAACACCATATTTCTTGACACATGGCATTCGCTGTCTTTGGATCACAACATCTCTAGCCTTTTTTTTAATCATCATATCCCACAAAATGCATCTTATAAATTATCAAATTTGGTTCTGAGTTGGTCAAGCACGAAAATTCGATTCGTGGCACAAGCCATGATCAGACGGATGTTGTCATCAAGAAAGTTGTCATGCCGCAGTGTGTCAGCCAAAAATTCCCAACTAATCCTGTCATACGCCTTCGCTAAATCCACTTTAAGCAGCATGTAGTCTTTCTTTCTAGATTTCAGGGAAATGGAATGGACAGTTTCTTGCAAGATCAAGATGTCTTGCAAGCATATAACTATTTTCAAGACATTTCGCAAACACCTTAGACCCCGTATTACACAAACTAATCGGTCTAAAGTTGTTCACGGAAAGAGGGTTCTTTGTTTTAGGAATAAGAGCAAGGAGGGCTAAGTTGAGTGCTCTGATGCGGTCTGAATTGATGAAAGAGAAACAATGAAACTCGAGAAGTCCATCCCTATAAGCTGCCAACTTTGTGGTAGAAGAGGGCGTGGAAACCATCCGAGCCAAGTGCTTTCAAGCCACCCATGCTCACCACAATGGCTCGGATCTCTTTAATGTTTGGAACAAGGCCAAGTCTAGTAGTCGTTGCAATGTTGATACAAGGAAAGTCGGTTGCAATCTCCAGTCTAGGCATATCTTCCTCATTAGTGAACAACTTGATGTAGAAAGAGCGTGCCATCAACATGAGTTCCTCAGGGTCCGAAACCTATTGACCATTCTCATTAATCAGAGTTGTAATCATATTTCTCTTCCATCTGGTAAGAGTACTATTATAGAAGTATCTCGTATTTCAGTCTCCTTCAAGCACCATCTTTGTTTCGGATTTTTGTCTCCAAAGGAGCTCTTCTTGTCAGAGTGTATGCTCTATTTCTTCCTTGACTAATCTCTCCTGGTTAACAGTAAACCGATTGGGGAGTTGCTCATTTTTCATTTCCATCTTACTGAGGTTGTTCAGCAGCTCTCTCTTCCTTTTGAAGATGTTTTCAAAAAGGTCTTTATTCTAAGCCTCTTAGTAAAGACCTGCAAGGAGGGCCGGAAATCAAAGCTAGAATTCCAGTAAGAAGCAACAAAGGAGTGAAACTCCTTATGAACTAACCAAGGAGCTAACAATTGGAAACGTCTCACCAGGGGTTTCTTGTCGGAAATCCTCGAATCACACGTTAAAATAGTGTCAGGAAAGCTTTCCATCCACAGTAGGTTGCACATGCTGCTATCCAAGCGTTTCTTTCAGAAGAGATGCCATGGTCACCCATGTGAACTTAGGGTTAACAAATCCAATATCCAATAACCCATAATCCATGATGAAATCATGGAACTCTTTGACTCGGGCAGGATTGAACTTGGCCCCTCCTTGTTTCTCTGATGGCTTTATGATTGAGTTGAAATCCTCAGTGAGAAGCCACGGTCCTTGATTTGTCATCCATGAGATTTGAGGGCTCTCCATAGGTCTCCTCTATCATATTCATTAGGACTAACGTAGATAACAGTTAGAAATCTGACCTCCTTTCCAATAATCGAAAATTTGAGATGTTTGAATTGCTTGTGTCGGTTAAGGAGTTCTAGCTACACTTTCTTACTATCCCAAAGCACCCAAATGCCACCTTTGAAAGCCTATGCATCAAAAACTTTAAAAGAATCAAAACCAAGGGACTTAATAACCTCGGTAGCTTTTTCACCACTAATACGAGGTTCTAAGATGCAAACTTTGAAGAGTGATTAGCAATATACACATCAAAAGTAGAACAAAATTTGGGGTGCTTAGCACCCCTACAATTCCAGAAAAAAACTTTAATCATTAGAGATTTGAGAGACTTCCCTGACGCGACCAGAGGTCGAGATTTTCAGTTAGCATCGACGACCATTGTCGTCTCATCCTTATCCTCCCCTTGAATTGGAGAATTCTCGAAATGCTACTAGACACTCCTAGTTCCTGCCTCGCCATCGTCTCAATTCACATTGAAGTCGATCTTCCTGGGGTGTCCCTTCCCATTTTCAACTTTACGAGTAAACTTATTCTTATATGCTTCGGTGATTTTGGAGGCACTAATATCTTTGGGTTTAGGATGTGCACCTCTTCTATCTTTGCCAGCGCTAACTCCTTCCTTTCTCAGCTTGTGGGGCTTTGACAAGGTTGCTTGCTAGTAGGTCCAACAGGGGACACAACAACACCAACATCTTTCTTGAATTGGGATGCATATTTACTTGAACCATCAGGGGGTTTATGACTCAATTGCATTGTTAGAGTCGAACTTCTGGACACCATCGAGGGTTTCCCTTCTTGCTTGGAGACAATTGGGGAGACTTTCTAGTTCTCTTTCTTGTGTGCAGTTACCTTCTAATTACGTCTCAACATTGCTCGCACTTTCGGTTCTAGTTGTCTCCTCCATTGAGTTCCACTTAGTTGATCTCAAGGGACACTTATCTTGGAGATGACCATTGTGAGAACCACGGATCTAGGCGTGCGAATTAGGGATCGAAAGAATTAGGGATTGGGAATTTAGGTGAGAAAGAATTGGGAATTGGGATGAGAGAGAGAGAGAATCGGATTCCCAAGGTGGGAAACCGCCGCTGTTGAGAGGGAAGGAAGGGGTTCGGCCAAGGTGAGGAGGAAGAGAGAGAGAGTTGGGAACAATTCTGTATTATTGCTTGCCCTTGACCTAACTTAACATGATATATATATAAACCGACTATTTCCTGTTTACTACCCGAATAATTAACCTAACCGAATAAACCCTCATATTTCCCACCCCATCACAATAACCGAATAATACGCAAAATAGCAATTAGACCCCAATAATTATGTTTCTCACAATCCATCCCCCTTGAAACCCACCTTGCCCTCAAGGTGGCCCATTGGTCTTGTCGTCCTCTTCCTTTTCCTCTCCTTTCGCGCCCAGCTCCATTTCTTCTCCTTCATCTTCCCAATTTCCGACCAACAGCATTAAGGGACTCTTGGCGCACTGATGTCCCACTGTATACCTCTCATCACACTTGAAGCAACGCCCATCCCGACGCTTTTGATCCATCTCTGCCTGAGTCAGCCTTACGAATCCGCGCGGTGGTGCTCTGGCCGGAAACCGAGTCCCGACGGTGGTCCCGGCGGCCGGAGGGCTTGACGCAGCCGCCGGTGTCGCCGCCCCAGTACCTGCGCCGCCACCTGCTCCGCCACTGGCCTTCTGCATCCTGCCCACGGAGGATCTCCAGCTGGCTAGCTCCTCTTCCTTCCGCCCTGCAAGTCTAAAAGCCACCCGAAGAGATTCAGGTTCAAAGACCTTGACTGCGGTGGCCAGCTCTGGCCGCGGTCCGGCCATGCACAGCCCCACCAATGTCTCCTCGGTCATCTCCTTGCATTGGTTCCCCAGCTTCAAGAACTCTGCTTGATACTCTGCTACTGACCCTGTTTGTTTAAGCTTGGTCAGCTGCTCCGGTGCCCAGCCTTCCGCCTTGCCGAACTGGTACCGGAGCTCATCCTGGAACCGGACCCACGAGATACTCTCGCCTGCTGCAGCATATGCCCGCTCGGTCCACTCCCACCACTGGAGGGCATCCCCCTCCAAATAGAAGGACGCCAGATGCGCCTTTCTCTCTGCCCTTATCGGATGGTTCCTAAACCACCTCTCCGCCACATACAACCATAATCCCACATCACCAGTGCCATCAAATTTCGGAAACTCAATAACCGGAGGTTTGGCTCTGAACACCAGTTCATCATCATAGTCATACAAAGGGTTACTGTATCCGTGCCTGTTACCGCCAGAGGGCTGCATCGAATGTCCCGACCCGTAGTGTCAATACTCGGGACCCGCGTGCTGCCTCCCCGAGTAGGCCCAGTCGGCCATCTCTGGCTGATATTCCTCTCCGCCACCAGTCTTGAGTCCGGACCCCTGTCCTTCCTCCATCCTGCGCCCCTGTCGCGCGCACTCGGCCCGTGGAGTGCTCCAGGGCGGGTAGCCGGCTTCTGGTCCCGGCCTGTCGCGTCTGAGCCCTCCTCCCGAACCATAACCGCCGCTGCTCATCGGCCCGCGCCCGAGTTCGACCGGGCTCGGCCCACACGCCCTCGGTTCGACCGGTCCCGGTCCGACCGTAGCTGGTCCGGCCGGCCATTGACCCGACCGGCCGACCGGTTTGGACTAGCATGGGTTCAGCCATCCAATTCTGATCGGGCCCATGACCCATTTCCCACTCCTCCTGGTCCGCGAAACTCATCTCCTCATAGTCTGGGCCCAACTCTTCAAACTCCACCACCTTCTTCTTTCCGCGGGCCTCCGCCATCTCTTGGGCCGTCGGAGCAGGGAGCAGACCAGGCCCACTGAAGACTGGTGCGGCCCATCGTTCTCCCCTGCCCGCTCCCCCGGCTGGTCTCGGCCCACCGAGTTGGCCGCCTCCTCTCCCGGTCAGCCCTGGCGGCCTCGCCGCCATCGTCCTCGCTCCTCCGCCGCCGGCCACATCTCCCGGCGCCGCGGTTCCCCTGCCGCCTGAAGCCCCCGGCGGCTTAGCCGCTGCCGCCACAGGAGCGCCGCCCGTAGCCCCCGCCGAGGCTCCAACTGAGCCCGCCGCCACCGTCGAGGCACCCGCCGCGCCTCCTGCCTCGCCACCGCCCACGGCCGCCGCAGCTCCTGGCGGGCCGGTCTCCGTTTTCGCGGCCGCCCCGGACACCGCCTCTGCCATCTTCTCCACCGCCTCTGGCCGATTTCCCGAGGTTGGTTCCTTGCCTTGAAATACTCCGATCAAGACCTCTTTCATGGTGTCAGTTAGGGCCTGGCACAGCTTCTCTGTCACAGTTTTTCCCATCTCCTCAATCGAGGAAGTAATCCGCCCTCCCAGCGCCTCTAGGGCCCCGGTCGAGTCTCGCGAAGCAGCAGCTGCTCGTTCGGTGGACTCCGTTAGGCTCTCCAGCGTCGTAACGATCGCATCATACTTGTTATTTGTGATGTCTTTCATAGTCACGATCTCCTTGCCCTGTCTCTGCTGTTGCGGCTTGTCCATGTTCGACATCTCAATTTCTGCAACTCAATAATCAACACGCCAACCAAGCTCTGATACCACTGTGAGAACCACGGATCTAGGCGTGCGAATTAGGGATCGAAAGAATTAGGGATTGGGAATTTAGGTGAGAAAGAATTGGGAATTGGGATGAGAGAGAGAGAATCGGATTTCCAAGGTGGGAAACCGCCGCTGTTGAGAGGGAAGGAAGGGGTTCGGCCAAGGTGAGGAGGAAGAGAGAGAGAGTTGCGAATAATTTTGTATTATTGCTTGCCCTTGACCTAACTTAACATGATATATATATAAACTCACTATTTCCTGTTTACTACCCGAATAATTAACCTAACCAAATAAACCCTCATATTTCCCACCCCATCACAATAACCGAATAATACGCAAAATAACAATTATACCCCAATAATTATGTTTCTCACAACCATGCACCAACAATCAAAGCAAAGTAAGCCAGTCGGAGGCATGGGAGTCTGACCCAGACGGCAGTGCGGTTGATATCATCAAAGTCCGGGTCGAAATCGAGCCTCCATGGCTCCGAGATGATATAGTGATCATCAATCGTTCAGGGACTGTCGTAAAGAGCTCGATCATGATCGAGCTGGGAATCAAAGGTTCCTTGATAAAATCCATTTCCAATATGATTAGTCTTCGGTAGCAAGGACATGAACGGAGACGCACTTGTTGCTTCATCTCCCTGGTCAATCGCATTCATCTCGGTATCTTCTACCCGCTTCGCCATTCCTCTCGCAGTGACAGTAGCACAGCCTATTTCTCCTTGCCCCGCGAACCCCTCGCTAGAGAGGGTTCTTGATTTTTAACAGGGTTGTGCTGGTGATGTTGTTGGCGATCCATCCGGCGGCTTGGGGTTTGCGGTGGATCCACTCTTTCTCCGATTGTTCCTCTTCAATTATACCGTTGAGGGAGGAGAGAGGGGAGATCAAATTCTCTCTCTACCCTTTACCACCTGCAATCTCCCTACGACATGTTTCGGATTTAACATTATTGATTGACATTAGGGTCAAAAGTATAGCTGGTCTTACCCAAATATTAAAAGCAATGTTATCATAACCAAATCGAAGTATGAACCACTAGAACAAGTGATTCACATTTTATTGGTTTAACCTATAAAAAATTGTTAATAAACTAATGCTTCATGACAACAAAATATATATATAAATAGAGTACATATAAGTATAACACCACTTTACTCTTAAAGTCTAAATTTCAAACATAACTATTACGGATAAATGATGACAAAATTATTCAAATAAAAGAGAAATATATGTTTTTTATTATGGGAGCCCGCTAGGGCCAAATGGAACTACAGAAGGGGCATTCGAAGAACGGTCAATTAAAAGCCAAAAAGTGACCCAGACACTATATTGACCCTCTAGAAAATCTTAGAACCAAGGACCGGACCAATATCAATTCAGTCCATTTTTCTTCGGTATTTATAAAATTCGTTGGACCAAGAATCGGACCGTACTATATTCGATTCGGTGTGGTCCAGATCCAAACATGAATTCGGTCCGGTGTGGTCCGGTACAGACCAACTCATTGCCCAGTAACCAACATACTTGCTACTACAGTCTACAGTACATAAAGACGAGCTCCTGGATAGATCCCTGATTTCTCTTGATCACACAATCACGCTAGTTGTAATTTATAAAGACTAGAGTAGGCTGCACACAGCCCTGCATTCTCCCAAATTTTAACAAGCAGCAGCATTGTTGAAAAATGCCCCAGAGTGACAACCAAGAAGTTATTCTCCGTTCAGTACTCTCGGACAAGATGCCACATATCACAACGAGAACACATCGGCGCACCAGAATGTATCTCTGCCTACAATCTTCAGCTCGCTATGTCAGTTGGTTTCGTCGAGAAAGTACCTCCTTCTGTCCAATGGCTGATTCCGTGGGTTTGAACGAGACTGGTCCAAGGGCAGTACTCGGTTCATTGGAGCAAATGCTGTGAGAAACAAGAAATCAGCAACCAGAATCCAGAAAAATAACATATCTAGTGGGTTAAATCACAAAACTATAGCTTCTTAAGCATTCCACAACTCCACCATTTCTCCATTCTGTTACTGGAGCGAAGTGTAGAGCTATCTTTTATGATTTTAGGACACATGATTCACCCCTAAATGTCAGACTAATGGAAAAGAAAATTGAAGGGTAGTAGGTTCCCTTCTTATAAGCGAAGATCTATCTGTTATGATTTAGGACACATGATTCACCTCTACATGCCAGACTAATGGAAATGAAAATTGAAGCGTAAGCCATAAAGGTTTCCTTCTTATAAGGGAGAACCTAGAATTGCTCAGGACCTTTGCAACATTATAGCATGTGTTTGCACAAAGCAAAGAGAAGGGCACTAACTATATGAGGAAGATCCCTCTAGAATAATTCCAGCACAACAAGTAGCAAATAAGTTTAATATACCTTTCTCCCTCATTCTTCTGTCTCGATCATACTCAAATTTATCCCGCACTTGATCAGCCCTTTCCCAGTTATCACCTTGTCTATTTCTGTCAGAACCACCCGCCTGCAATGAATATGAAATGGTCCTTTCATCTGTATAAGAAAATTCTATGGCATCTATGCAGGTAAACAAAACAAGCTTAACCCGTGTTTCATATGATCTTAAGCATTTGGGCATTCCCTAGTGTTGCACAACAATTAGCATGGTGCCACTGTTGTTCGACATATAAATTCATGACCTGTGTCACTCTCTATGCAATTTTATCACAACATCAACTTGAACTAAATCCTCTCGACCTCAACGAGCATTCGAGATAACTACTACTAGTGACAATTGACAGTCATTTGACAAGCAATCAATCAAAACTAACCACAAAAACCCAAATAAAAATTCATACCTTCATTTGGTCGGACCTTCTGATCCTGCATACCAAGCAGACTGTCAGTATTCTGAACGGACATGGTAATGAAAATCCGTCGAATTACTCATCAATGAACGGATTAGAGACCGAAAAAGAAAGCAGACCTGTGTGGATTGAAGTCTTGATCATCATCCTCCGCAGATTCATAATTGGCATGATCACTAGCAATTTTTTTGGAGTAACCCTCGTCCCAGTAAAGCCGTTCCCAGTTCTCCCTCAGCTCCTGATACAGTTCCATGTACCTTCTGCACCAAGGCTCGTGTTCCTTTTATCAAACACCACAACCCAAAAAGCACCAGGAACCACGTTTGTTAAGATTGCAATCCAAAAGATATTTCCACTTCAAAATTGCAACTTAAAATCAAAGACATCAATCACCAAGCTAAAACCTTTGTTCACTGCTTATTTGAATCCCGGAGGCTAAACACGAAGTCGAAGATAGCAAATGAGAGCTCACCGATTCCTTGAGAACTAGGCGAGTGCGGTGCATGAACTGCTCCCTTAGCTGCTTACGGCGCTTGTTGGGGATGTTATCTCTAGGAATCACGAAGCGCTCCCGTGGAGGTACGTTCTCCCCTATTTCGTGCATCTCCCCGTCGACTATCCACCAGTCTGATTTCTCGCCCGCCTTCTTCGACTGAAAAGCCGGCGCCCTGCTCCGCCGCCTGTTCGGCCCGGCTTCTGTCCTCACAGAACGCGAGAGGCCGGCGGTGGCGCCACGGAGGCATGAGGTAAAGCACTGAACTCGTCTCGTTAGGCGAATCATGAAGGAGCCGGCCGGCCTCGTTTAGGAATTCACGGTACTCCGATCAGAAATTTACACAGCGGAGGACTTGGCCTCGGTCGCAAGCTCGCAGCAGTTCCGTTCTAGGTTTGTAGCGGGTAGAAGAGGAGAAAGTAGAAAATAGAAAGTCAGGACCCGGAAACGAGTCGGGTCGGGCCCAATCTTGCACAGAGAGACAGCGTGCTGTCCGTAGGCAGTAGCAGTTAGCACCCGTCTCCGAATGTCGCTAACTCAGTATATTTGGTCAATCTAGTCATACCGTTAAGTGACATTATTAATGGGTTGGACAGAAATGACTATTGTGTATTTCGAAAGTTGTGGCTATATTTGTAACAAACGTGAAAATTGTGGTCGTGAAAGTGTATTTTGTCTTTTTTTATAACTCGTGTATTTTGCCTTTTTTTTATAACTTAAGTATTTTGAGAATTTTTTTTTGAAAAACTAGTGTATTTTGGGATTCTTCCCGGATACCATCGGTACCTGCCAAGGTTGTCCAACCGGTTTAAGTCTTTGAGCCGGTCAAGCAAGGAATTTGAGGTTTAATGATCTGATCGGGTCTGGCCAGTTTGAGCCATTTTGTAAATATATATACAAATAAGGTAATAATTAAAGATTTAATATCTGAAATGAAATTTATCTTACATGTATATATTAAAAACTTATTTTTCACAAAATAAATCCACTTAACATCACACAACACACCCATCATCTCCATTCTTTCGTTAGTCTTTCTCTTTCCCCGCTCTCTTCTTCTCCCTCTTTAGAAGTCAAACCGAAGGGTTTTCTGCAAGCCATTTTGAAACTCAGCTTAAATCGAACTGGATCCAACCGGAGATCTGATATGGGTTTAACAACTTGTACCCGCAAACCGCAATCATGGTTTGATGTCTCCGAATCTCGAGCAAATAATTCTTGTATCCAACGGTTTCCAAGTGGCTTACACGACACTCATCCCAGCACTAGGGGTGTACATGGGTCGGGTGGTCCGAGTTTAGGCATTTTAATCACCCGACCCATGCACTATGGTTTGGGAAATATTAAACCCAAACCCACCCAAAAAAATCTAAACCCTACTGTTTGTTTCTAATTGGGTTGGATCGGGTTGGCGATATCCTTAAGTAAAAACCCAACCCAACACAAAATATGTAATTATTCTACATCATAAAAATATTTTATAACACATTAAAAATTCAAACGAATAAACCAAGGGGAAAGGTATCAAAATTAACAAATATTGTTTGAATTTTAATAAAACTTTATTTACTTCAACTTATGTCTAGTTTTTTTCACGACATTTGTTGCAATAGGCTAAAAAGATTACAAATGAACGCATTCATAATATGATATTCTTTTAAAATTGTACACAAGAATTTTGTTTTACGAAGAATGCATTAGATTAGTGAGACTTTAAGAGAAAAACATGGCGAAATATCTTAATTTTCTCATAAGTATGACTATATACGACATAAATATTTTTTTTGGATACGAACTCATACCAATAATTGGAACATGGGTTGGGTCGGATTCTACGGGTTGTGTAATCCAAAATCCAAAACCAACCCAAAAGAGGCGGGTTATACAAAAGAAAACCCTCACCCAACCCCAAACCTTCGATTTAGCGATAAATACGGGTGGGTTGGGTCGGGTTGGACGGGTGGGTCGGTTTGTGGGTGTGTTTGTTCACCCCTACCCAGCACTGGAGGGCCGAGGCTGGAGCGAAGCAAGTAGCCCGCCCTCTGTTCCCGCCATAAGAGAAGACTGGAAACCGCCGGCAACAAGCCGAAACTGAACAGACGGAGGAATCAATTACTCGTAGCTGGAGAGATGTGTGGTAGAACTCGCTGTACTCTAGGCGCCGCCGACGTTCCTAGGGCTTGCCACCGCACCGGCGCCCCCTCGCAGATGATTGACGTTGACCGGTACTAGACCCATTTCCTCTCTCCTGTTCTCTCGATTTCTCTAGATTTCGTGGTCTGACCTCGGTATTTTAACATTCGTTTTCAGGTACAGGCCGTCGTACAACGTTGGACCGGGGTGGAATATGCCGGTTGTTCGCCGGGACGTTGCGTCGGACGGCGACGGCTACGCTGTTCACTGTATGAAGTGGGGATTAGTTCCTAGTTTCACCAAGAAAAACGAGAAGCCTGACTTCTTTAGGATGGTAATTATCCGAATCTGCTTTAGCTTCTTTCCCCCCCCCCCCCCCCCCCCCCTCGATTTTGTTAGGCCGTTGTCATAATGGAACTCTGGTTAGAGGTTTGGGGAACTCGGTCTGTATAACCTAGTTTAACTTCTACAGTTCTAGAAGTGTTCAGTGGATGTTAGGGGATTGATTCCCCGAGTACTAGATAGGCCGATTCATTGCAGAGTTTCATATGATATCCTCGCCTTTGCTTCCATTGTTGTTTGATAATTGTCTCGTAACCCTACTTATAATCTGCTCCATCAACCATACATCATCATGTAGTTCAATGCACGATCGGAGTCTGTTGCTGAGAAGGCTTCCTTTCGTCGTCTACTTCCTAAAAACCGGTGTCTTGTGGCAGTGGAAGGGTATGTCTGAAATTCATGGTCCATTTTCTGCTTCATAGCTCATTCTCTTCGAGTCTTCTACAGATTAGACCTCATCAAGAGCTCAATGCTGGCATGCTTCAGAACATTTTTGTTGTTATGACTTATTGAGTTTAAAATATATGCTAGGGATGAAGTGGGAGCTCTTTCTGGCCTGCTAGGCCACAGGCCAGTTTGGTTAATGTTGTTGCCTGTCCCTTTGTTTGCTTTCATGACTGTATTGTGCCGATTATGTTTTAGCAAATTAATACAGAATTCAGAACATTCTGTCACCATCATCTGTGATGCTTAACGTTTGCAATGCATTGTTGCTTTCCACATATACTGCAGATTCTATGAGTGGAAGAAAGATGGGTCTAAGAAGCAGCCTTACCACATTCATTTCAGGGATGGTCGTCCTCTCACATTTGCTGCTCTTTATGATTCTTGGAACAACTCTGAAGGTGAATACCTTCTCTTGTTTTACCTTGAGATTGGCTAACATTGTAAAGTGGCTCTATATACATTCTTCTCTAAGGTTTTGTTGCTGCTAATGCCTTTTTAGGCTCCCTGCTTATACTGTGCAGCCTTTATGTTTGTATTTTTTTTCCTTCTGTAACCATTTTTTTTTTTTGCGCTTCGTTTACCATGGTTTCTTCTAGTTGAACTCCCGTTTTCTAAAAAGCAAAGTGAACATTGCTTGAACCTCTGGTAACTGAATCCGTTCATCGATTGACATTTAGCATTGCTGCAGGTGAGACGCTCTACACATTTACCATCCTTACAACTTCATCATCATCAGCACTAAAGTGGCTACATGGTAAGTAGTTTTTGTTTTAGGAAGATCCTCTTGTTTAAGTTTCTATTTAGTATAATCTTTTGTTCTGGTTCATATATTCTCTTGGAAGGGAATGAAGTATCTAATCTTTTAGTTGAAGAAACACATTTGAGATTATATAATTACAGGCTAGAGCCGCTTTCTGTCATATTAGAATGGCTAATGCAATGTTTTAGGAATGACTAATGCTATGTTATTTTGGCTTGTGTTTGCTACATAACAATTAGCAAGAAACGTATTAGTTGATCTTTATTGCAGATAGAATGCCTGTAATCTTGGGGGATAAAGAGGCGACTGACGCTTGGCTAAATGGTGATCCTTATGATTCACTGCTCAAGCCTTACCAACATTCAGATCTGGTAACAACTCACATGCTGATTTAAACACCTCCAGCTGTTCAAACACCAAAACTTAAACACGGGGCAAGGCTATGACCCAGTTTTTATATCTTCCAGGTGTGGTACCCAGTCACATCTGCTATGGGAAAAATCGGTTTCGATGGGCCTGAGTGTATCAAAGAGGTTTGCTGCTGTTCAGAGTCTTCTGCAGTTTCACTATCCGTCGACCTGAGGTGCATTTGTGATGTTCAACTCATCGAAAAAGCGATTACTTGAGAGCCATTCTATTGTGGTTGCAGGTACAATTGAAGAAAGAGGACAAAGGCACCATATCAAAATTCTTTGTGAAGAAGGAAGTCAAAGAACAAGAAGATCCGGAACCAGAAGACACGTGTAAGCCTCATGAACCTATGAAGAAAGATCTCACAGAAAGCGTCAAGGAGGAAGTTGACAACGAAGACAAGTCAGACATTACACCCTCCCCTGAAGTGGCAGCAGACGAGGATATAAAACCGAGCGTCGCTCCTGCTGTAGACACTGCTCAGAAGTCTAAAGTGAAGCGGGAATTTGATGACTCCGTTGATGAAAACCAGACGATAGCAAGGACACATGAAAGCAAACGGCTGGAGGTGGCAAGTCCGGCAGGGAAAAAGGCCAAGTCGAAGAACGATGGCGATAATAAACAGCCAACCCTCCTTTCCTTCTTTGGAAAGAAGTAGCCTAGTGATAACAAAATCTGAACTTGGCTTTTCGGCGGTGTACGTTTGCAATGCTTCATTTTGTGTGTGTGTGAAGAAGCAGCGGCATTGTTTTCTTGGTCAGCTGTTTTGCTTGCTTGCTGGGGAGTATTCCTGCTTGGCCGGCCGATCATGTTTGTAGTTTGACTTTCCTCCATGTATATATTAAAAGCGCATTTCACTTTCACTTTCATGTTTCACTAGCAGCATTTCTATGTATAATACAGTGCAGAATCAACAAATGAACTGTCCTGAACATTGTTTCATTGCTTCAGTCTCAGCTTCGCAGCAGACAAGCACACACATCGATCGATTGCATCGACTTAAATCATTCGTTTCGTTCAAGAATCGGACTGGCTCCCATCTGACTTTATAAATAAGGCTACAGTCTGGAGGTGCTAACCATTTCCAGGTACAGAATAACATGACCTGATAATTCTTAGCAGAATGAATTAATACTTCACAATGTACTAGATAAAGATGAAGATCATCCATCCAATACATTATTCGCATAATCTCCGAGGTACAAAGTACAGGACTATATATGATTAAACCCTGATTCATCACCAAAAAAATAGTTCTAAACTGGGGATCCAAACTTGAGATACTTGTACAATCGATGCAGATTTATACGATGCACCATTGCTCCCTCACCCAGAATCACTTGAACCCGAAAGCTAAGCTATGAGATTGCAGAAATCGAAAATGACCGAAAGACCTGAACTTGCACCACATTTCTTACTCTTCCTTGTCTCAATACATTCCCCTGCTGCTGTTGAGAATAGACCCAAGCGTCCCCAGAACAGCAAAAGCCAGCAGCGGGCTCACATCCAGGGTATCGAAAATGGGAGGGATGATATTCCTGAACAAGTTGAGGTACGGGTCGCACAGGTCCCTTATAGCCGACAATGGCTGCCGCTCCCACGGGATGTTCGGGAACCAACTCAGCAGCACCCTCACCATCAGCACGCCACTGTAGATATCCAGCCACTTCGCCAGCCCCGCCGCCACCACGGTCAACGGGGTGTTGAGATATCCGCTGGGGCGGTCCTTGAGCGCCGCGAAGAAGAGAGGGCCGGCGGAGCGAACCACCGCCGCTCCCGAGCCGATCGCACATCCCGGCACCGACAGAGCGAGCTTGTTGACGAGCAGGCGCGACAGGGACAAGGCTAGGGTTACGATTGTGGCGACCGTCCGAGTTGCTCCGGTGAGCGCGATTTGGGAATCGGATGGAGGAGACAGCGTGGGGACTGGCGAGGATTGCGAGGATAGCGCAGCCAAAACCCTAACCCTGGGCTTTGGGGCATTAATTCGATGGGAGAGTGAAAGTCTCGGGAGAAGAGGTTTCGGCAATGGTAGAGATGCGGCGGCCGGGATCCTGCCGGGATTGTGCCTGTGGAGCGGAGGAGCTTGGAGGACGGCGCCGGTCTGTGAAGAGAGCATAAGCGCCATGATTGATTGCCTCTGCTCTGCTCCTCGATTTGGTTTTCCGGGGAAAATTTGGCATCAAGAAGAAAGGGGGCTCCGTTCCTGATAAGGCTAGGAGTCGGAGCGGGTCATTGTTAATCCGGATCCGGGTCGGGTTAGTCGCTCTCATAATTTTTATCGAACAAAATATTATTATTTGGCCGTAACTTCACCCCTCAATGTTTCGTGACAAGCCAAATACATACCCCATAATTGTATCTTTATCCAATTTCGTACAGAATTTTTTTTCCAGAGGAAAAAAAAGAGCAGAATGGATGAAAATGTTGTTAATTGATGACAGTGAGGAGTGATTCAGCAAAGAGGAAAAATTTGAGGACGTAAAAAGGGTAAATTGCGGAAATAAGCCTCTAAACAAGGAGAAGCGGCCGAATGATCAGGAGCTAAATCCATGATCATTCTCTTCAGCAGTCTCAGAGGAGCCGCCACCAATCCCCATTTCACCGCCGGCGGCCGTGTCCCCAGCCAGAAACCACGCCGCCGGCTACCTAGCCTTATGGTGCTGCCCCTCCGCCTCCTAATTTGCCGCCGCCGTGGCCGACACCAACCCACCAACACGCTGGAGCTCGACACCATGGAAACCGGCTGCGGATGGATCTCTTTTGTTGTGAGAGCGCTTCTTCTCTCTGGCTACTCTTCTTGCTATGCTAGTCAATCTCTTTCTCCATTTATATTGCTTGAATGCTGAAGGCTGATGAGGAGGATGAATAAACAACGTTGGCTAATGATGGTGATCATAATGACAGCAATGATAGCCATTTTCTATGTTGGATTAAATATCTTTTTTTTTATTTCTAACTTATTTTTCCAGAGGATAAAAATTAAAATAATCAAACAACTTTTGAGTGGGTTAGTTTTGGAGAGTTTTGTCAATCAACATTGTTCTTCTCAAGTTCATGCTCTATATTTGATTCTATAGTAAAATCACTGTCTCAGTTCAATGCATGTACAAAACAGGATTAGAAGAAAAGACATATGATACCCACTTCTCAATAATGTACCTTTTAAACATTTACTATTGTTAATGCATCAAAATTGAGAAGAAGAGGGGATGATGTTTATGTTCAGTAACATTCGGTTACAAATGTCATTCTTATAGGATACAATTTTTCTATCGATTTCGTCATCAAAATTACTGCGGTAAAGTAATTAAGGTGTTGAACTCACTTGAGAGTGGTCTCAAATTCGTCCATATAAATGATGTACTTCTTTCTCTAGTTAATTATGAAAGGTAGGGTAGAACAACCCACTTGTGTTAAGTGGGTTGCTTGTGGGGATGAAAAGGAATCCCTGCTTAGTAGCTGCTAGTGTTTTGTTTTTTCACTAGGCAGTAGCTACTTTGGCCGTTGGGCTCGTGGTTAGCCGGCTGTGATGATGATTAGAAGAGAATGGGGGTGGTGGAATCTGTCCTTTTGTGTAGTTTATTGGGTTGTGAAGATGGGGAAAGGGTTAAAAAAAGAATCAAAGGAGGTGGGTCGTCTAGTCCTTTTTAATTTTGCAGCTCAGAATGTGGGATCGATACGCCATGGAATCGTAATCATGCAAAATCCAGACAATGATTGCACAAAATGCATTTGCTTCTTATGCTTTAGTTGTAATTATGTGTTTGTTATTCCTCCCACTTAAGATTAATGTTATTGTTAGCTCAATATAGGGCTGGGCATGCGGGCGGATCATCCGCGGGTTTGGGTCGACCCACCCGTATTTGACCCGAATTTCGTTAAGTGGGTGGGTTTGTGGGTGGGTGACGGGTTGCGCTGGGAGCCATCCGCCGGGTGGTGGGTGGTTGTGGGTGAGTGTGCGGGTGACCCGCTCAACCCAACAGCAAAAAGATCAAAGTCGTTGGCGCTAGAGAGAGGAGAGTGGAGACGTTAGATATAAACTCGGACTGCTCCTGGAGTTTGAACCTCAAAGTCAACCTTCCAAATAGAGATCCCCTCTTCTTCCCTCTACTTTTTCCTCTAATTCTTGTGCCTAGATCACCGCTCTTTCCTTTGTGGAATTATTTTCCTTAGTTCCTTGCACCTAATAATCGTCTCAATCTGTAGAAAACTATTTCATAATAGAATTTCTATCCAATTTAAGAACAAAGTCGACATTTTTCGCTCTATTTCAACTTCTTGTTTCCCTCGATGATTCTCTTCACCTATTATCATGTCAAGTTGACTCCTTTATATTATATATTATTTCAACTTCTTGTTTCCCTCGATGATTTTCTTCACCTATTATCATGTCAAGTTGACTCCTTTATATTATATACATTGTGATGTGAGTGAACCCACAAACCCACCCGCATCATCCACCATCCGCCCGACCCAACCCGAGACTAAATGTGGGGGGGGGGGGTGGTGGGTTAAAAATTATCAATCCGTTTAAGCGCGGGTGGGTGCATTTTATGGTCAAAATCCACCCGACCCACCCAATGCCCACCCCTAACTCAATATATGGGATGTTTAAAATATATAGTTCTGTTGTATTATATGTCTGCTGCTACATGTAATAGAAGTATTTGGTTACAATACAACGGGACATATGTCAACCATATATATTGCATAAACTTATTTACTCTTGTTAGTGCATATTTGTATCATAAGGCAACATTTGAAATCGTATGTTGATTATTAGAAAATCCCTCTAATCCACTTCACTTGTTTGGATTTCTACTTTTGTTGTTTTTTTTATGCAAGCATAAAGTTTGTTAACTCGGCTACCACTACAACTCACTCTCAACCAAGTGTAATATATAACCGGGTGTAGCAAAAAGTAAGGCCCTGTTCACTTCCATTTTCGTTTCCTGTTTTCGGTTTTCATGTGATAAATTTGGCAACCGAAATGAGAAAACTTGTTTACTTTTCATTCTGTTTTCTATTCGTTTCCAACTATGAAAACAGAAAGTGGCAACTTCCTGCTGTTTTTGGAAACGACAAAATGTTGTTTTCACCTGTTTTCAACATCTGTTTTCACAAAAACAGGAAACAGAAATGAAAGTAAACAGGCCCTAAGTATTTCAAATATCAACATGGGCAGACTATATACCCTTACAAGCCAACTTAATCGATCTAATCGGAGGGACGTACCTTACACCCGCAAAAGAAAACTAAGGCAATCAATTCTACTCCCTCAAGATTAAATCGGAAGGGCATAGAGTCAAGAATCACAATGATTCATGGCACTCTACGATAATAGAGGATTGACCCGGATTGCCTAAATGGATTTTCTTCCTCCTAGGTCAATTGTCCCAAAATTGGAAGATTTGATAAAGAACACCCAATTTGCATGAAAATACCTCAATCAATATATAAATCACAATACCCATACAGAATAGAGTTCACAAACTACAACTACAACATTCCTAAACTAGGGTTCCTATCATCCAAGTGACAAGGAAGACTACTCCATAGCTAGAAGAGACATAACAACTAAGGTAGAGGAAAACCCCATATAAAAGTGATTCTTCCTCTTCCAAGATGCTTGAATGGATCATTGGAGTAGAAATCTGCCCACCAATTACCTTGGGTAGGTCAATTTCACCTCCTTTCCCTCCTTGCTTGAACCTTTGTCTCTCTAAACTTGAAAAAGAACCCTTCACTCTCTATAGAACTCCCTCCTTCACTTTCAGTTCACTGTCTTTTATATAGCCCTCGAGCACCTATTTCATAGTTGCACTTCACGGCAGTGAGGTATGCAATGAAACCATGATCTCAGCGCGAAACGCCCGCGAATTGCACAAAGGCTCCTGGAAGTGTGCAGACTTCACAGTTTCTACGTCGACATCACGGTCCGTGATAATTCCTCCTTGTCGTGATCCTTGCACTTTTGCCCGTTTTGCTCCCTTTTGTCTGAATTTTGATCCTGGTGCCAGTTCTACCAGTACCTACTAAGGTATGAAACACGCAAAGCAAGAGCAAACCTAGAGTAAAATAGGTCAAAGGACGGTGCAAACCAAGTCAAAATACACAAGTCAAGGGGTTAAAAGTATGTAATCTATCCCGAATCAAACTCCCCGACACTTGAATGTTTTTTTGTCCCCAATCAAATCTAGTCAAACCAGTAAAACTTATAGGGAAAAAACAATGGTATGCACTATAAATCATCGGTGGCGCCTGAAAAACAATAAAAGTCAGGTAAACTTCACTTCCATCTCTTCGTGCCATGCATACTCTCGGTTGAGGACCTTGTTTACTAAGCTCGAGCTCAAGCTCGTTTATGAAAATGAAAGCTCGAGCTCGACTCAAGCTCGGCTCGCCAAATAAGTTTAACGAACCCAAAATCGAGTTCAGCACATAAAATATTCATGATAGCTTAAGATTGAGCTAGAATCGAGAACAAAACTAAATTCAAACCTATAGCAAAGCCTACCAAGATAAAATACAATATTTATCCCAATTCAAATGCCTAAAGTCTATGAATTCCAATCCTTTATGATGCCAAACCGTTAAATGAGCTTATTCGCGAGCTTTCAAGCAGAATATAGTGTGGCTAGATTTCGGCTCGTTTAGTTCACGAGCTGGCTCAATTAGAAGAATCGAGTGTCGAACGAGTTTTTCTAGAGTCGGATGTTGAGTCATTCATGAGCGGTTTGGATCATTAACAACCCTAATCATAACATGATAACAAGCATACACAAAACTAAGCCATCGAGGCTCAAAGAACGAGTTTGTTCACGAGCCGTCTCAATTAGACGAATCGAGTGTCGAACGAGTTATTCTAGAGTTGGACGTTGAGTCGTTCATGAGTGGCTTGGATCATTAACAACCCCAATCATAACATGATAACAAATATACACAAAACTAAACAATCGAGGCTCCAAGAATGAGCATTGATGCTTTGGTGCATCTTATTACTCATAAAATATAGTACATCACATCATCAAATCAACATCCAAAACAACAAAGAATTAGCTGACCATGAGAGAATAAGAAGGAATAGACAAAAAAAAATGATTCGTTCTCTCATCACTCCGACAAAGTTTCAGTAAGTCTGAGTTGTAAAAAGGTACTTTACATATGAAGTATATGCACCTATTTATTGTACAAGAGAGATGGGGTATAAAGAGTATCTTCCTCCTAACACTTGGCCTATTTCTTCATTATCTGAATTGAAATAAGTTTTCATCCCTGTCTTGATGAATTAGACTGCAGAAGAAGTTTCCTTGTGGCCTAGAAATAGCGGTGGCACAACAGTAGTTGGACCCGCCACCCTATTTCTTCTTGGAGTGGGCTCTTTGGCTCATGGACTTCTTCTAATGTTTTGGGAGAAACTTGTGGCAACAGCGCTAGACCCGTTGCTTGGGCCTCCTCTCTTTCCTTCATCAAAATGGGTGAAGATTTCCTCTACGGAGTCGTCTTCACATAATCTAACAACTTCTAGTTTACTCCCCCGTCATTGGACCACTATGTCTTGTCACAAACTCATTAATCTTGTCTTTATAGCTCATTTGGTCCTCCAGAATTCTTCAATGCTTGATCCATGCGTCCTTAGGTCACTTTGTACTTTCAATACCAACAAAAACATACTCAAAGACATCAAAGAGTACAAGAATACAACCTTGATCTCTCAAAAGCTCATTGAAAAAT